ATCCATAGGATATCTTCTATATTCTGGATATAGACGGACATTTGGATATCCATATTAGATCCACGGAATATTTCTGATATCCTGTGGATATATTGGATATCCACAAAAGATATTCTGTGGATATCTTTGGGATTTGGTGTGTTGTCTGGGTGATAACTTCTATATTTGATGATATATTGTCACGGAAGACATTTTAAACGAATTTTAGGTACAAAATCAATTCATTCACAGAAAAACACCATTTAAGAAAATGCTACATAATCCTTCATCCACTTGTGTCTTCAATTAGGTACTATTCCAACCGCGCGGATGCGTTTCATTAAGAATGACTTCCATGTCTTTGGTCGGTATTATCTTCATAGCTCCTGTTATATTAAATTTGTTCTAGTTTACAAATAGCAGTAATTTTTTGAGTTTTCTTTACCCACACAATTGCACCGTGTAAGTCCATGCGGCGTTTCTGTGGTAGTGATGTGATTATTCGAATGGTAAATCTTATTGGAATATTATTGGAATCATTTGAAATGTCTTAAAACTGTAATAAACGAACAGGAATGACTTCAAGAGACTTATTTTCAAATTAGACATTCCAAACAAAAAATCTGCCAGTGGGTTATGATATGGCAACCGTGTAGGCCTGGTGATTTGACAGTGTCAATGAAATAGAGTTATATAGATTGATCATCCATTGTTTTCAAAATAGACATAGGCTTATGCTTCAAAGTAAAAATGTAGGTAAATATATCATTTACTATATTCAAAAGCTGAAAATTGGTTTATAATCACATTTTTGCTAAACTGATTCTGATTAATGAGCACTTGCGAGGCAATATGGTCACTTTGAACAATCTATATGATTATGTATGTATCATTGACCCTGTCAATGACAGCAGGCTCACAGTGTTGCCATATTTAAACTGTCAGTTCCCACTTGTCAGCATTTTGAATGTCTAATTATGAGTACTCATTTCCCTTAAGATTTTCATGTGAAATATTTCGAGAGATTTTTCAAAGTAGGTACTGTTTTTACGATGATATATTATGACATTTCTCATGAAAATCTTGAGAGAAATAATTTCCCTCGAGTTTGAAAATAGGTCCTGAGGTAACTTGTTGAAATATGGAATAGACCCAGACAACACACCAAATCCCAGAGATATCCACAGAATATCTTTTATGGATATCCAATATATCCACAGGATATCAGAAATATTCCGTGGATCTAATATGGATATCCAAATGTCCGTCTATATCCAGAATATAGAAGATATCCTATGGATATTCAGCAAAATATCTAATTAGTATCTTCCAGACAATACAAGAAATCCCAGAGATATACACAGAATATATTTTTTGGATATCCAACCAAATGTCCGTCTATATCCCAGGAGATATTCAGCAAAATATTTTATAGGTATCTTTAGTAGACATTCATAAGTAACCAAATAATTATATTATTGAATAATGTCGAAAGAAAATAGAGATAAAACATATTTCCAACAATCTGCCTTTTAGTTTGCCCACTAAAAGACATGGGTAACGCAGCGCTGCGTTGCGTTATTGCGTTAACGCAGTTGTATGCGTTACGAGCGTTGATACACCAATTGTTACTGTATCAGCGCAACGCAATTTTCGATACTGAGTCGAAAGGATCGCGAGTTGTTGGTGCGCCATGCGCCAGGCACTGATTCCGTTTTCCGTGACGAGTTGAGAATTTTAATTTACGTAATTGATGCATCTCGTAATGCAGATTACCCAAAATCTATCAAGTAATTATGTTCTTTGCAACATGTCACATCATTTGTAGGATTGTAGGTCGAATTTTATGAATTTTAATCTTGTACACTGTCAATTTTTAGTTCTTCCCAATTTGATTGGCTACTATACTATACATAGTATACAAAATTTATATCCTTATTTTTATATAAATTGGAATTTTTGTATTTTTTGTAAAATCCGAACACAATGAAATAAAAAAATGAGTGCATTACACTGTTATATTTTCGTTTATTTTTAAATATATAATAAAAAAAATTTAGTTAAATTCCTTGAACACGGTTTGACCCTTATAAAAAGACAGCCCGCTCTGAATAACACCGGTATCATGCGATACACCGAGGTGCATCGACTTCATTCGGCGCAGGCAGTGGTGTGACGCAATAACGCAATTGCGTTAACGCAATGAGTTGGCGCAATAGAGTGCGCCGGAGTTAGTGTATCAACGCAAAGAATTTTAGTGCGTTACCCATGTCTACCCACTAAGGAAAAAGTCATCCTTATTAGGACTCTTCAGCAATAAATGGAAATTCTCGACTCCAGTCTCTAATAGAGTCTTAATGCGAAAATTTTTTCGATCAACTCAATTATGGCAGGTTGAGCATGAGTAGATACGAAAGTGGTATCGCCATCTATACTTAGGAAGCAAAATCAAAAATTACATCTAGTAAATATCCACGATGGTTTGCGTCCGCGCTAAGACTTTGATATATGTGGATGTCCATGGGATATTGAATACACCTTAAAAAAATTAATTTTAAATATCTGAACGCTACTATTAGCCACAATGGCGTAATTTTTTAATAATTTGCTATATAATTACTATTATTTATGGACATTTGCATGTCTATAAATTACATTTCATGGATATAAAATAGATATCCACCATGGACTGGACATTCAGTGGGTATTGGGATGTTCAGTAGATATCCAAAGGATTTGGTGTGCTGTCTGGGGAGTAGCCAGTGTTGCCAGATGGAAATTTCTGTCAATAGTAGGAATATAGTCAAAAAAAACCCGGAGATAGCTTTTTTCAACAGGAGATTTTAATAAATCTAGTATTTAATAGAGGAACACAGTACAAGCTAAAACAAATTACAAATATAATTCTAGGGAGTTCCATGAACAGTTTTCAATTACATCGGAACGTCACGTGATTTAGCCTTGTAGTCGGTGTTAGTAGGTCAAACAAAATTTTAATTCTCACACATGTAAGTATAAATTTAAAAAAATCATATATACATGTAAATAAACAGAAAAATGCAAATTTCGTAGTACTATAAATAGAAATCAACAATTGTCGTCGAAACACGGTGTCGTATTAAAGTATTCTAGTGAAAATTACTGAGACCAACGGAAGATTTTCCAGTAAAAGCACTTATATTCTTTATTCTCAGTTGCTGTCACCGTTCACTGTTGTACATGACGTTTTATGACGTTCGGATACAACAAAGTTTTGAGTTCTGCAGTTCGCATATTAACCAATTAGGCATTCCAAACTGAATGGCTACCAGTGGGTTTTGACCCGTGGTTTTGACAGTTTATGATATGGCAAAATTATGGCAACCCTGTTGACCTGGTGATCTGACAAGGTCAATGAAATAGATGGTTACATAGATTGATCATCCATATTTTTCAAAATAAACATAAGCTTATGCCTTGAAGTAAAAATATAAGCAATTATTTTTCTTTAAATATGCAAAGGCTGAAAATTAGTTTTAAAACACATTTTTGCTAAACAGATTCAAATTAATAAATATTTGCCAGGCAATATGGTCGCTCGCAAACAACCAGCTTTGAGCAATCTATATAACTATATATGTATCATTGACCCTGTTAATGACAATATGATAACAGGGTTGCCATATCTAAACTGTCAGTACCCACTGGTAGCCATTTGGACACTTCGTTGGAATGCCTAATTAAAAGCCTGAAAACACAGAAGTATCCTATGAATATTTACATAGATATGTTCATCCATTTTACTCAGTTAAAAAAGTCTCTTAATGAAAACTCGAAACGAAAATCACGTAACAATCTGGATAAACGTCAGATTTTTTTTATTTTCTTCGTACTTTGATTTATTTGAGATCAATTAGATTATCTACCTAGCATATAACGGCGTTAAACGTCAGCTTTATAAATTATGAATATCAACGGCGACTGCAACGTCAAACAAAAACGGGAACGAGAACGGTAACGACGATGGAAACTGCAAATTTTTTTTTTTTGTAACGGATTTTGACAGGTTATAATGTCGTTATGATATGGCAACCTTGTGGGCCTGGTGATTTGACGGGTTAGTGCTATATATAGTTATATAGATTGATCATCCATGTTTTTCAAAATAAACGTAAACTTATACTTTGAAGTAAAAATGTAGGTAATTATTTTTTTACTATATTCAAAGACAAAATTAGTTTTAAAACACAATTTTGTTAAATTGATTCTGATTAATAGGAACTCGCAACATGACCCGCTTTGAGCAATCTATACAACTATGTATATATCATTGACCCTGTCAATAACAGCAGATCACAGGGTTGCCATATCTAAACTTATTTCCCACTTTTCAGAATTTTGGCAGGTCGTTGGAATGCCTAATAGACGGTAATGTCTAAAAAGATTGATAAGGGCGGACTAGGTATTTTTTAGTTGGCATGTCCCTCACAACAATCAATTCCTAAGTAGAATTTTCATAAACTAAAAAAGACGGAGTTACGTAATGTGTTCAAGGGATAATTCTTTAACACGGTGTCCGATTTCAATGATTCTTTTTTTGTTAGAAAGGAGGTACTTCAGGGATGGTCCCATATTAATTTGGTCAAAATCTAGTAATTGGCTCCATTAGAAAATCCTCACTCTACATTTTAAATGTATGTTTAGCGGTAATTCTTTAACACCTTTAACACTATGATTCTTTTTTTATTTGTAAGGGGGTACCTCAGGGGGTCAATTCTCGACTTGTAGGAACCTTTTCCTATAGGAATTTGTGACACTTTCCTACATGTAGACAAATGTCAAAAATTCCTATAGGAAAAAATTCCTACGAGTCGAGAATCGACCCCCTGGGGTGGTCCCATATAAATTTGGTTAAGATGTGGTGCCGGCATCTGCACGATTTTTTTAAATTACTTTTAATACTTGTTAACCTTAGAAATGTTATTAGTGTTCCTTTTTTTTTCTTATTTCGACATTGGGGTAGGTGAATAACATAAAAAACATTTAACAGTTTATAGTAATTTATTCATTTATATAAATAAACATCAACTTCAAACACTATTTTCAGCCAATCGATCCTATTAGTTCGCAACGTTTAAAACCGTGACAGAAATATCCCAAAAAAATTACATTAGCCTATAAAATATATTGTATATTGATACTAGAGGACAGAAAGGATTTATAAATACTTCCGTTTCGAAAAAAGTATGTAAGTAGGTATGCGAAAAATTCGGTTAAAACTTAATGCACGAAATTTACAAAATCTGGAAGAGCTTTTTCAATTCTACCATCAGTTGCCAGTCGGTTTTCTGCAGGTCGTCCCTGAAATATTCTTTGCAGGCGTCGATCGATTGCCGCGATATCTAAAAAAAAAAAAAAAAAAAAATAATTGTAGTACTAAACATTACAAATATATGTTGGTAAAGTAGAACCAGCAATATTGAAATTTAGTGACGACGCATAGGTTTGAATGTAGGTGGCGCGTTGAAAATAAAACACAAAAAATTCGCCTTTTTTTATTTTTTGTACATAAGGTCGATCCTCCGATCCTTTAAACTTGCAAAATTATATTCAATTTCTAATTTCTAACAATTGAAACAAGTTACAAGGTTTTTTAATGTCGGAATTAAACCTCGTTGAAGACGAAACAGACATATTCTACGCGGTTATATCTTGCGCCACGGTTGGTTTTTATGAATGAAAGTAGAACGCGAAAGCTCCTTTGACCCAAATATTCATTGATCCCCATTCATGTTCGCCCTAACTCCGTTCACTGCGTTATTTATCCCCGGATGCGGGCGTGTCTTCCTATCTTGTATTTTCCCCTTAACCCAGTCTTCGTCGTTATTACCATCATTTGCATTTTCATTGTTAGCCGAAACGAATTTTAAAGGAGTTATTGTTTCTAATATATCGATAGCTGTTATAGTTTTACAATCTTAACGTTTTTTGAATGAAGAAAATAAATATACTGACATAAAAATTAATATTTTATGTTGTGTTGTCAAAATTCCACAGTTCTAGGGTAGCAAAGTTGCTTAAATTATATATAAAATAAAAATTAAAATCAAGGGGACGGGAAAAATTATAATGGTATGTAATTAATATAATGTTCATGGATTATCGAATATACTCGAGGCCAAAAAATATTTTCATTCAAACCTTACTGTACTCTAAGAATATTTGAATTCGCACAAATCACGCATTTACTGATTTTCCAATAATTATATTATCCCAATTAATAATCAATTAATTAGCCTACTATAACAGGAGTTTTTGTCTAGACAGCCAGCTATAAAACCACATTTTCCGGGACAAGTAGACCGACAGTGCAACGACCCGCTTTGTGTAAAGTTCCAAACGAGGGAACAGTTTTTCGCGGTGAGAGGGGATAACCGGGAATCTCCGGATTATTATGCGATTCTAACTGCAGCAAGTTTGAATGGGTCGATAAAAGTTTAATTCAACGCTATTCTGAATGTCTCAATAGCTGGGCTATTCATGTAAAATACATGAATGAGCGTACTTGAATGGTTTCTGATTGTAATGAAAGATTTACTTTACTTTATAGAGGGTCGTTTTTCTACTTTATGGAATATATCTGTTATTTATGCTTAGAGAAGAAAAGTCTTCAAATAAAAGTTGCTTGTATTGTTATTCTCTATAATTTTTGTCATATACAAAATTTTCCTAAAATGGTGCGTATTCGAGAAATTTGAAAAAAAAAAGTGCAAAATTCGAATTTTTAACCAAATTGTTCTAAAAAAATTGTTTATGATGTCATTCTCTCTAATAACAAACACCTAAATAATAACAATAATAATTAATGATAAAAATAATAGAAATAAAAGCATGAGTTACATTATTATACAGGGTGTCCAGTTAATGATGGAATACATAGCAACTATGAATTCCTTGTATAAATATATTGCTATATAACACAATTTAACTTATAACAATTATTGATATTAAACAAAGATACAGGGCGAGTTACCAAATTACTTAGACGGTGATTCCTATCTCAATTTTCTTTAAACTGGATTTCCCGGACGTGTTAGATGATTTGGAATTAACACTTTCACTGCCTAAGCTTTAATGCCAACTACACGTTCTGGGCCATACACAATGAAAATCTAAAAATTTATTATGGGGAATAGCTAATATATATATACAGGGTGATTATAAATACAGACAGAAGTTAACACAAAAAGAGAAAAGCATATAGACACATCTATAGGATGTCAAAAACTAATGTCAAAGAAGTATATGGTGTACCTTATAAATTTATTTATCGATCAAGGTAGTCAAGCACTTCATGAATGGTTGACTATACGTTCCCGGAAGCCTATCTAGGGAGTGGAATAAATGAAGAATTAATAAATCGAAAAAAGTAGGGTATCCAATGAAGATGCAGCCACCATGTCAAAATATTGTAGGGAAGCAGGACCATTCAAGGCGGGGAGTCAAAAACAATCAGTAATAGACGTAAACTCTCGTCGCAATTCTATACAGGCTGTCCCATTAATGCATAATTGCTTGATATTTCAATTTGTATTATACACATGTTTTGAATAAAAGTTATGTGGATTTGAAAAAAATATCATTTAATCTTCATCTGGCTTCGTGGGGTATGTACATACATCACGCTCCTTCTCGTCGATTTTCGATACACAACACAGTCGCAAAAATTCGGAGTGCAAAATAGCAAAAACGCGAAAAAGTCAAAAAATTAGCGATAATTTGAAAATAGTAAAGAATTAGACAGGTGCTCATATAAAATGTTTTGTTGCAAATCACCTCCCTTACCTCCTGTTTCAATTTTATCCATGACTTTTCGGACACCCTGTATATATATTTTTAATTGTATAAATTGTACTATATATACTTTATATGTGGACAATAAATGTGTTATTATTATTAGTGATTTGTTTTTAATAATTTTATAGTTAAAACTTTATCAAATATACTTCAAATGACAGTGAACACTTTATTGGTGATGTCATCTAAAGATGGTTTATCAAACTTTAAAAAAAAACATTCTTACCTTGCTGGTGAGAAAGTCAGTTTCATCAAAGTGTCTACCAAACATCTTGGGAGATTCGCCAGGAACAGGTTCAATTTTTATGCAAACTTCCATTCCTTTTCTAGCACTTTCTACATTTTTGTGGTTGCATTCTATACTAGTCACAACGCCAAGGTCAACAAACTAATAAACAAAACAAATATCTAGTCAAAAATTGTTTAAAACAACATTACTGGGGTAAGTAGAGTTACCAGACTACAGAAAAAGTGCAGACATGTGCGGAATTTTGGAGATTTGTTCGTAAAGCGCCGGGAATTGTAAATTGTCCGGAATTTTCAAGGTATGTTTAAAATCCTGTATAAACAGTTCTTTTAGCCGTTGAAACTAATATTTATTTTTTATGTAAATATTTTTTAATAGACTGTTGTTGTCTTGTGTAATTTTCTGTTTATGTATTCCCTTTGTATTATATACCTAACATGGTTTATGTTAATTTCACGAATTTTTAATAAAATTGTTTTGTTTTTGTCCGGATTTTTAATGAAATGTTTCGAATTTGTAAGAAATGTCCGGAATTTTAAATAAATGTTCTGAATTTATAAGAAATGTCCTGAATTTTAAAGAAATACCCGGACTTTTTACAGAAATGTCCCGAATTTTAAAGAAATGTTCTGAATTTGTAAGAAATGTCCGGAATTTTAAAGAAATGTTCTGAATTTGTAAGAAATGTCCGGAATGTTAAAGAAATGTTCTGACTTTGTAAGAAATATCTGAAATTTCAAAGAAATGCCCTGACTTTTTAAAGAAATGTCCAAAATTTTCGTATTTTTAAACACAGTAACCCTAGATAAAAAGGTTAATTAATAATAAATAAATAATAACCTCTTTGCTGGGCACACAGATCGGCGTCCCTTCTTTGACTATACCCGCTTCCACCATGACACCAGCTACGATAGGATCGCGCGAATTGAACACGAACTGAGGTAGTATTTTGAGTTTGCACGGGAACACCGCGATATGTTTGAATTCTTCTCGTTTTTTTTGCTTCAGTTCCTCGCGATAGGCCATGAACTTGTCGAAGAGATGGTAAATGATGTCGGCTTGGAAAATTTTGACGCCTAAGCTGTCCGCCAAATCTTGGGCGTCGCGCTCTATTTTGACGTCGAAAGCCAAAATTGTGGCATATCTAAAAAAAAAATTTACAGATGATATAACTATTTTTTTGGTATTATTTCTAATTTATATTATAAAAATAAATTGATTACTTACGTGCTTTCATGTTCCAACATAATTGAGGCTTTCATTACATCTTTCTTCACTACTGGTCCAATTCTTATGCCAGAGTACTGTAATAAAAATAAACTTAATGTAATGACGAATTATAAAAAAAATATAAAAACGGTATTACTTAATCCAAAGTTCAACACGTTGTCAATGACAAATGACGGCGACTTTTTTATCACAAAAAATACAGCTCTGAACGATATTTTGAGAAATTGTTTTTAAAAATGGGTTCAGAGTATGGTAAAGAATGATAGAAAGTCTCTAGTTTGTTTTACTTTTAAAGTACAATATTTTAATAAGTGATATTTAACAAACCCAAAATAAACTCTTTTATTTTTACCCTAATTATTTCAGGAAATTTGTGTTAAGATTTAAAAATTTACTGCCGCCAATTTGCAACTGTGCTAATTCGAGAGATACGTTTTATTAAACTCATCGTGTTACGTATTTGTTGACATTAAGAGATAGAAATTTAAAGTGACGTCTTGTATTACTTCATGTGAAAAATCGTTTTCAAACATAAGAAAAAAGTTGAGTTGGGCCTTAAGGAACTTCAAGAAGGTAATTTTTTTGTATTGATTATGCTGTGCGTCTCAAAACGACTTCCGTTCTTGGTAGTTTCATCGTTAAACGACACATCCGTCTTTCATGTCCTTATACGTGATCGGCAGAGGACGTCAGCCGACCCGTATATCCTATTCAGTGATTCACGCACTCATTGTTGCATCTAGCACCCGCGATATTGGCACCTTAAAAAGAACCGAAAGTTTGTCTGAGTGTATAATGTAATCAGGAAGTGAAAAGGCAGACTAATTATTTTCTCATTTTATTTATCTCTTTTCTTCTTGTTAATAATGTGTAATTAATAATTCATTTAATAATGTGTGTTTCATTTAAGGTTTTTGAACGAATTATGTATGTTAAAATTTACAATAATGTGGATTTGTATCAGGACTATCCATAAATAGAAACTTATACATCTAGTATTATTCAGTGAATTTGTAAGTAAAGTTTTTGAGGAAAGGCTTGACATAATTTGTACTGATATTCAGAAAGCTCTGGACATAGTTAACCACGATATAAAGGTTTCAGAAGCCAATCAGTTTCCTGAAAATTACAGTTTTTGTGTTAAATCTAAGTTATTTTTTAAACTATTTAAATTTATATTTTTTTTATACCTTCAAGAAAATTGTCTTGTATGACTTTTCAATAATTTTTCTTATATTTATTTGTGTTACACTAAAGTTTCATTTACCTACTGATTGACTTTCGAACCATCCAATTATATTACTAGCAAAATTACACCGATTTGGGTTGTGGTTCAATTTATTTTAGACCTTTTTAAAAATTGTCTTCAGGATGGAGAATTTATAATTAGATATAATGAGAATATATCAGGGATATTTCATGCTTACTCAGGAGTTCTGCAAGGGTCTAATTTAGGAGCAATACTATTTATTTTATTTATAAATGATCTTTATAAAATACGTTAATTTTTAAGACTAATTATTTGCAGAAGATTTTGAGATGTTTAAAAAAATAAAAATAAATAAAACAGAGATTAAGTAATGTTGTAAAAGGATATCAATAACATTTATAAATGGAGTATTGAGAACAAATTAAATTTTTATATGAATAAATATTGTATTATTTCCATCTCTCGTAAAAATTAATTACATTTCTGTCTAGGAATCTCGACAGTCAATGGCTTGATGTTCTAGAGGTAGGGCATTTGTGTACAGAACAAAGATATCTGGGTTCGAATCCCAGAGACGACAGGCTTTTCTCAAATCTCCAACTATTTGTTTTCACCTTTGGGGTTTGGTGACGGTCTTAATAATTTGTAGTTTGAGATATGTTTCTGAATTTTCAAGTTAGTCAGCCACTTATTTCAGATATTATTTTAACTTTTCGTATTTCGATTTACATAAATTCACAATATTCACTAGACTATGAATACAAGTTCAGTAAATATTTGCTTGTGGTATCAAAGATTTAAAGCCATTTGACTTACAACTTTTTAAGTAATAATGCCACTGAAAGATGAATAGTTGTTAATGAATAAGCTGTGCCTTAATGCAAGAATTTTCGGAGATATTTACATTCTTAATATTTAATTTTCAACGACGAAATACGGAAAATAACTTGTAGGATTTTCCCATAGGCATTTTAATCATTTTTTTTTTCTCTAAATTTATATATCGGTAGATTTCGCGAGGCCGGTGTCCAATCTTAATAAAACATCCTGTATTCTGTTTAGATTAAATAGCATCAGACAAGCAAGTCTTTCCCACAATATTTGAGATTCTTTAGATTTTATTAAGACTCTTATTTAAGCTTTATAATTGTTACTTTCTTAAATATTACATTATACTGTTACTGTTATTAATGCCTATTGTATTTGATATCATCTGGATCTAATTTTGACCCTTTAGCTGCATAATTTTTACTATTAAATCATTCTGTATTTTTACATTTCAACATTTTAATATATATTAAAACTTTCTATGTTCTAAATTAAGAGGAGTTAGATAGAAGAATAGCCTATGGCTAAATATCGCTCCATTACTAAAATTTTTGTAATATTTTGAAAAATTATAAATAGAGACGGTTTATTATCTAGTAATATGAAAAAACTCTCTTAAATGTTACTTTTTGGTATAAAAAACTTTAATAATAATAGAATAAATAAGACTAAAGCTTCTATTTGCGCAGTCTGTTACCCTTTTCCGCAACGACGAGCCGAAAATCTCCCTAATGCGAATTGCCCCCCAACAAAAAGTACAAAACGCGAAGCGGGCGCTCTATTGGCGGAAAACCGCGTGGGTTATAGCGCGTGCGCGTCGCGTATCGATTCGCCCCCTTTTCGGCGACCTCCGACATGAATGGTCCCGCGTAGGTGGAATGTTGAATCGAAAACAAAATATAATTGATATTGGCGCGACCTTTGGCTCGGCGGGATCAATAATGAAGTTACTACAGTCACGTTGGCCAAGGGGCAGATGCCCTCGCTCTTTGATATAATGTCATTCATGGTTATGTTCACATTTTGGGACTGTAATAACATAGTTAAGAAACAATGATAAGTAGCTATTCTGGTTTTTAAATAGTGATAGAAAATAGACTATTAAGCACTAAAGGAAGAATAATACTGATAAAAGCATAGGAATATAGATTAAAATTACGAAGAAGAGAAGAAAAAGCAAAATAATATAAAGGAGTGGCAAGTGATCGAAATTTGATATCAAAGTAAAAAAATGACATCAGAGAAATAGGATATTTAAGCGCAGGACATTTCAGCCCAGCCACATTTCGACAATTTGCCGTAGATGTTACATCTCAGTTTGATTTCAAAACAGGAACAGTTTGACTAAAACGAGGATTGTTCGGTAACACAAAGATGGCGCGACTTCGGAGGAATCTTCTTTACCATTCTGTAGAATCCTTTTTTAATTGATTAAATTCACATACTTCGATTTTCTCTTATTATACGAAGAATGGTCGCATTGCGCAGCTTTCGGAGTACCTTTTAAAAGGAGATACACTTATTACGTGTTGCCTACATCTTGGCGCAATAGTTTTAGTGGTTATGTTATAATATTTACCCAAAGATATTATTTACGAACCTACACTTTATAAAACCATTAACAAATAATGAATATCTTAAAAATCTTCCGTTACTTGGTGATTTTATGTTAAATCTTTCCATTTGTAAGTAACAGTAACTACTTTAGTTATTTTCCTATTGTTGTATTCTAAATGCTTCTTATTTTTCAGATCTTCTAGGAATTTCGAGCAATTAACTTGAACAGTGTTTACAAACTATTAATCAAATTGTTTAGAAATTATTTTTAGTTAAACTCTGTCATGTCTGTTCCTAGAATTTTCAGGAAAATGCTCATTGCTCTTATTTAAAAAAGTATGTGATCAATCGTGAAACAATTCTTTGTAGAAGGTAACTACCAAGAAAATCGAAGCATTTACTTCAATAGATAGTAGTAGCAGTATTAAAATCAAACGAAATAATAGGTTCTTTCGTTCGTCCAACTGGTGTAGGAATGAACTACACCAACGTACACTAAACCTTTCGTTTGGCCCGGTGTAAAACCCACTATACCTTCCTGTCGGCGATGTGGTGTACACTGGTGGGAATTTTCTCTACCAGCTATTTAGCAGGAGTGATTTACACTCGACATGTGTATAAGGAATAAGGAGGAAGTAAATTAAGGAAAATAAGGTGGTGTAACTGGTGTAATTTACACTGGTGGACACTGCACCAACAGCGAACGAAAGAACCTAATATAAACATGTAATATTGTTTACTTTTGGGAACATTTATATTATAATAATTGTTTTTATTTATTTCAGGTTTACTACCTCTGGTTGATTTACACATCTGAAAGTAGAGGTAGCCCACAACCTCATTAAGAAAATAGCCCCCCTCTGCTAAATAGTTTATCTGGAACAGTTAGAAAATAACCTGTAATATTTAGTTTTTTTTATTTGGACAGTAAACTGTGTAACAATTTCGGAAAAGTGGAAATTTCTGAGAAGCAAAAGTACCACTGATTCAGGTACATTGATTTTGTACGTTAGACATACACAGGAATCATAAAAGTAACAAAAACGTCTTTTAAAGCCACCATATGGCGACATCCTTTTTACAATATTAGGTCGATGGACTAAAGAAATCATAGCTAGATCATCGATTGCTATAGAAGCAAAAAGTTGGGAGATATGCAAGAGTTTTGAAAATGTACACTGGTAATCTAATGTTAATACAATTAATAAATTTGTGTAAACGAGAATATTGGTAGAGGTGGTGGCAGTAATATCTATAGGGGTATTTTCTTAAATAAAAAATATTCAGCAATTTCTTACTATGTAAGAACTGAAAGAAGACTCAAAAAACAACTATCTTTTGCAGCTTGCCTGCAATAGTATATTCCTCTGGTACTATCTTTTAGTTAGAGCTTCTTTAAACTTACATTTATTTGTTTTTATTTTATAGTTTCGTACCATATTTAGAGCTGAAAAAATGCAAAATATAATATTAGATTGTTTAGCATCAAAGATTTTTATTGCATTACAAAAATAAAATGTTTGTTCATGGGCATGGAAGTGACGAAAAATATCATAATATTAAGTTAAACTCATATGCACAGCTTTAGAAATAATTTAAAACCACTCACCTCTATTTCAAGATGCACTCGCAATTCTAACTTCTTGTATATTATTTAAAATAAATACACGTTTTTTTCTACATTAGTTGCCTTAATTTGAAATCTCAAAATACCAAAATGTAGGCTACCAGTTTAACATTTTGGAAAAATGTGTTGCCTAACCTAGTAGTAATTGCATCAAAATGGCCGCGCCCTATGTTGGACGTGTCGGGCGTCTCTCTTGCACCATATACCGTGAATTCGAGTAGAAACTCAGGTTGCTCTGAGTTCATTTTCGCGTTTTTTTAGAGATTTTGAGTGTGATCTGTCGCGTTCGATATGACTCTGAGTATGGACTTTGAGTGCACTCTTTTAACTCTGTGTTAGAAGATCGAGATCTGTCGGAAGTTAAATATTGAAATGTCAATTATGTCAATGAACGAGACATATTATTGTTATGTGGGTTTGTAATAAGTAATATTTGTATTTTAAAATAATTATTTAACTCATATAGATTATTATAAGTAAATTTTGAAAGTTTATTTTATGTTATTCTATTGTAATGCATAATAATTAACTGAGATACTGGATTGAGATTATGATTTTTACTCTGAGTGGCAGAGCGCGTTCGAGATCTTACTACATTTGCTTTCTGACTTGACAGGACTCTGCTCATGCCCTGTCCACTCCATAGGGCGTCATCTCGAACTTGCCCTAGTAATCAAAGTATGTGCATTTTGTAAAATTTTCTTCTAATTAGGCATTCCAACGACCTGTCATACAATAGGTGCCAGTGGGAAATTCTTGTATATCTAAGGGGGTAGCGACATAATCTTGCAACTTGGACGCTATTTTTATTCGAAGTAGTAGTCGCCAAGCCTGCCAATTTATGAAGAAATGTATAGGTGGGTTTTTAAATATTATTTTTATTGTGTTTGACATAAAATATTTAAATGTTATCCATTATTCATGATTTTACGTAAAGTAGATAGAATACACCGTATGTCGCCACCCTTAGATATACCAAACCTTCCCACTGGCAAGTCATTTGTTTGGAATGCCTAATAGGTTAAAATATGACATTACAGAGCGATCTGACAATACGTCAGTTCTTCTTCTTCTTCCTTTTTTTTGGGCTATATCCTACAGGACAATTTACCCAGCTATAAAAACGGGAGAGTATCGTTGTCTTGCTCTCGGCAATTGAATATCCTCAAGTAATATAATTAAAATATGTATTTGAAACTTCTTCACAGGATGCATAATCCCATTAAGGCAAGATTCACTAATCGATGGCCATTCTTATTCAAGATTTTTACAATAAATTTGACATATTCGTTTTAAGTTTTTTCTTCTTCTAAATATTGTGTGCAGGTCATAAACAATAATTAAAGGCTACCAGTGTGTAATGACAGTTTAGATATGGCAACGATGTTGTCATGTTGTCATTAACAGGGTCAATGATACATATATAGTTATATAGATTGCTCAAAGCTGGTCGTTTACGAGCGGCCATATTGCCTGGCAAATATTTATTAATTTGATTCGGTTTAGCAAAAATGTGTTTTAAAACCAATTGTTAGCCTTTAGATATTTAAAAAAAATGTTGCTTACATTTTTACTTCAAGGCATAAGCTTATGTATATTTTGAAAAATATGGATGATCAATCTATGTAACTATCTACTTCATTGACCTTGTCAAATCACCAGGCCTACAGGGTTGCCATAATTTTGCCATATCATAACCCGTCAAAACCCACTGGTTCAGTTTGAAATGCCTAATTGGTAACTAAACGATTGTATATTTAATACATGTCATCTACTTAATTTAGTAATATATTTATAAAATGAACAAAACGCACTCAAAAATCTACTGTCACTTTAACTGTTAGTGCAATCATAATTACATCATCACTAAAATGGCGTATACGATTCCAAAAAACGAACGCTTATTAAGCTTTTACAATTCACCGCAGGTGCGCTGGTGTTGTTAGGTATGTTAAAAATACATTACTTTTTATGGAAATTTTACATAATTTTGTAAAAATAATAAAAATAAACTTGTTTATTGCAAAATAAAGCACAAAATATATTGTTGTATTTATTTCCAAATAGTTTTGTATGTTTTAAGTGATAAATTATTTAATTTTATCTATATAAAATGCAAATTAGGTATGGCTAAATTCGAAAAGGTTTGTTAAATGGTGAAATTTATGGCTTAATTTTTTTGAATTATACCTGTTTTAATAGCCAAATAAAACACAGTTAAAATATTTTTTATTGTTATAATAAAAGTATAAAAGGGGATTCGGGAATATATATGGTATTGTTTGGATTGTATTTCTAAGAGTTGCTGTGATATATCTTTATTATTTATTAAAGATCCACCCTGCAGACCTAAATGATCATCCTTCTGCGATCCACTCTGTAAGCACAAAATGGGTATTTACCTTTATTTTGGAATCCCCATTGTTATCATTCTTTTTTGTTGTATCCTTTTTGGCGGTACTAATGATTGTAGAATGTTGAACCAGTTTTTTGTTTTCTGAATTATCCATCATCGAATTTGCATTGTGAAATAATAATAATTGTTCTTCCAAAAGGGATATATTATCAGTCAGCAGGTTTATGATTGTGTGTTTATCTTGCACCATTAGATTTATTAGGAAATTCTGTTCTTTGAGGTCACATTTTTCATATATCACAACAGTGTCAAAATGGATGTTAATTTTCTCTTTAATGGATTCTTCGCAACAAAAACCAATTCTTTCAGCGTAACTATTGTAAAAACATGCATCACATTTTTTACAACACATTCCAGTTAGTACGTTTTTTTTTACAATAATTACATATATTTTCTTTTGCTGTTCAGAACTATTAACTGCCTTTTCGGCCATTTTGAATGCCTTTTACAAAAAAAATCATAATGATACATTGATTTTTTAGGTAAACGTAAAAACAAGGAAAAAAAAAACAGTCTGGGATACAATACCGCAATAGGTCAGAATAACTAATCAATGGTTGTACAACTTAAGTACTACGAATAAATTTTTATACTCCTTTTTATTGATACGATGAATTAAATAATAAAAATGGCATCGTCAAGTTGCCAATACTAGTTTTCAATAAAATAATATCTTCATAAGCTTATTTCATCAATTTAAAACACTGGATAAAACCAAAAGGCCAGACTATTGTAGTAATCCATAATTCTTTGTTTTATCCACTATGGTTACATGATTACATTATTATTATTATATTTTAACTTACAGTTATCAAAATACCTGAGTTTGTAATTAATTATATAAATATCTATTTTTTTTTTAATTATTTATTTTGCTTTCATTTTTTTAATTTTTTTTGTATTATTTTTTGCTTTTTTCCTTTGTTTCTTTTTTGTTTTATCATTTACTTTATTTTTTGTTTCACTCAATCTTTTTGTGTTCACTAGACAGAAAATAAGTCAAATTTAAAATTTAGTATTTCGTACTGCCAAATATGCAAGTTACAATGTTTAAATGTATGTATTTAAACAATGCAAATTATAATTCTTATTTATGTTATAGCTTACCGGTATTTTGCTGGTCCTCAAAAATTCCAATAAAGCTTCCAACGACCCCAAAGTCGACGCCTGTACGTACACGCCCCTATCAGCTAATTTGATGTTAGAAAGAGCAGATCTCAACTCTCTGGATACTTCCTCTTTAATAATGTCGATTTCGTCCGGCTTATTCGCCACATAGAGATTCAATCCGGCGATGGCTTTTTCTAATTCTTTAGCGGCTATTTTTACACCTTGGGCGGCTTTGATTTCTTTGTATTCTATGTAGGCATTCTGAAACAAAACAAATCTCACAAAAGAAGTAAAACTAGAGCTACCAAAAGTGTGAAGTTATTGATCCAGCTATTAGTTTTGAAAAATGTTAAAAAAATTAGTGGGATTTTAAATTGACAGTTATACTTCACCGGGACTAACGCTTCAAGCTGTCACATTCAGAATTACATATAAAATTTCTTTAAAAGTTAACTCTGATTGTTCGTTAACTTAAAGAAACATTTATATGGTCGTTTTTTTTTTCAGTTTAATAATTGTTAAGATCATTACAAGTTTGGTCCAAAATACTTAGTTTTAGTTGTTATTTATTTTATTCCCTTATAGACTCCTTACGATTTACTAGGTTACACCTTCTATATATAAAAAAAAACATAGTAGGAAGATGTCATAAAAAAGTCATTAAAAAATCACGTCTACAAAAAGTAATTTCACGCATTCCATTGCATTTTTTAGTATCTCAATTAAACCATTAAGTTCTGTTGATTTATCTATCTATGTTAATATATTTTTTGGAAGAAATCCTGGTCCTTCGTTTTTTTATCAAGAAATACCTAACTCTACCTGTGCTACAGTCGTTAAACCCCACGTGAGCGAGGAAAGGCGAGTGCCATCCGTTCATTACATTTTAATATACTATGTAACATTTAAGATCTTGTACACTTAATCTATTTACCTTCACACGCAACTCTCTCATCGGCTGCGGCATCAACAACGACCGAATCTGAGTTTCAATTGGTCCGTCGGTACCGGCGCAGAGCATGGTATCGCCCTCTCTTAAGGTACCGTTAACTAAAATAACGTCTATGGTAGTACCGAGACCGGGAATAGCTTTGACTTCGAGGACGGTGGCCTGTAGTTCGTCGGAGTACATTAAACGTTTCGTCAGCTTCGTTTGACAGTAATCGACGATGAGCGCCAGGAGGTTGCCCATTCCTTCGCCGGTAATTGCACTTGTCGGTACTAACGAGACGTAGCTACGCGTATCGGGGTTTTCGTAGAATAAGGCAGCATTGAAACCTAAAATGAAAAGAAAAAAGATGCAAATAAATATATTCATATAAATAAAAATTTACTAGGCTTAGTAGGGCACGTTTTTATTTTAACACAGCACCACATATGTTTCAGAAACATTTTTTCCATCTTCAAGTGCAGTCAAAATTTAATAAAACAGTTTAAAGATGGGGTTTCTATTATTTAAAAAAAAAAAAAATTAAAGTGTTTGTAATCATCTACAAGTTTTATTAAATTTTGACTGCACCTGAAGATGGAAAAAATGTTTCTGAAACATATGTAGTGCTGTGCTAAAATAAAAATATAACCGAATAAACCTAGGAAGTTTTTATTTATATAAAATTCTGCTACGGTCAGAAAATTATCCTTATTTATATAAATATCGTTTCATTACAGAAATATACAGATGCATCAAATTTTTACTTGATTACTTAGAAATGCTCTGTGATTGACAATTCGTAGATATTTTCCAATGTCTTTAAGTATTTGAAGTTTTAAATTGTTCTTGAAAGTGTTTATTTGTAGAATATTTAAATTTTTTCAGTATTTGAAGACATTCGTTTTAAAAGTTTAATAATATGATGTACAATTTTAAGATTATTAATTTATTACAATCTTTAGTTTTAACTACTTGTAAGCATTTGAATATATATTAATAATTACATAAATATAAGTTATAACATGAGTCTTCTTGGAGACAACAAGGAAGAAAGCAGAGCTGGCTTAAAGAAGGTTTGGACTCAGAAACATATCTATTTTCCTATGATGCATCTTCTGCTACAATTTCTACCAATATGGAAAGTAAGATCGCTTCCTTAAAAACAGAAATGTCTTCTGATATAACCTCTATAAAAACTAATATTTGTTCTAATATTTATTTATTTATTAGAAACTAAAGTTTCTTCTGACGTTTCCTTTATAAAAAATTATATTTCTTCCTTAGAAGATAAAGACTCTTCCAATATATCTTCTTTAAAAGATGAAATTTCTTCAGACTTGGAAAGCAAAATGTCTTCTATGGAAAATTAATTTTCGTCTAATATTTCTTCCTTAAAAAAAAAGGTGTCTTCCGAAATGTCTTCTCCAACAAAAGAAATTTCTGCTGATGTGGAAAATAAGATTATTTGTGTTGAGGAGAAAATAAAAGAAATTGAACTTCCTGCCCTCATTTCATCTATTCTATATGAAAATTTTTTAAATTTAAAAAAAGTAACACATTTTTTGACAAATTTTATATTACCTATTTAATGGCAAACAATAAAAAACAACAATAAACTAAAATACAACAAACTACTTATTGATATTTATTTTTCGCGAATTTAATATCAGACTTTATTTGACATTTATTTATATTGGTGACAATTGTTTACCCCGTAATCACGGTAACAATATATTTACTTGATTATTCTGAGAAAACCGCGCGCTTGGTGATTTGTCGTTAAATATAATATTTTAGGTATGTTCAGAACAAAACAGAGATTTATTAACTATGATCGAAATATGATGGTTGTAAACAAAGAAGTGTACAAACCTCGGTGGGAAGTTTCATTCCTGTCTCGAGATCATAGCTAATCTCTACTAACTAATCTCACGACAGGAATGAAACGCTTCCCACCTCGATGTGTAATATACTATTACCTACCTTGTTCGGCAAACTGCAACACGACATCTTTCGTCCTCTGCTCAAACTCCAACTGCGTATTCGGCGCTTGCGCTTTCAATACATCCCTTAAATCTTTCCTGCTCATCGTCTGCCAATCATACAATCTGTCGATCTTATTTAGAGCTACGATGAATGGAGTTTTTTTGGTTTTTAATATGTTTATCGATTCGATAGTTTGCGGTTCCAAACCGTGCATAATGTCGACGACCAAGATGGCGATGTCGCATAGAGAGGAACCGCGATTTCTAAGATTCGAAAACGATTCGTGACCGGGTGTGTCTATGATTAGGAGGCCTGGAATTTTTAAGTCGTCTTCGTTTATCTGGAATTGAAATGTGACAAACGCTTGTTAGGTTTATTTATTAAGATATATAGAGGTATAATAATTGAAGGGCTTATTTATTTATTTATTTAAACTAAATCAACACCATTGCAAAGCAAAATACATATAAATGATACAGATAATTGTAAATTAAAAAATACAATGGACCCAATTATTAGATCTTGACCAAATTAATATGGGACCACCCTGAGATACCTTCTTACTAATAAAAAAGAATCACAAAAATCGGACAAGGTGATAAATAATTATCGCTAAATATACATGAAAAATGAAGAGTTTAAAGATTTTATCATGGACCCAATTATTAGATCTTGACCAAATTAATATGGGACCACCCATAAGGTAGCCCCTTACTAACAAAAAAGAATCAGGGGCTACCACAGAGGTAACCCCTTATTAATAAAAAAAGAATCATAGAAATCCGACAAGGTGGTAAATAATTATCTCTAAATATACATGAAAAATAGATTTTTTCATGGACACAATTATTAAATCTTGACCAAATTAATATGATACCATCCTTAAGGTACTTCCTTACTAATAAAAAAAGAATCATAGAAATCGGATAAGGTGGTATAGAATTAACGCTAAATATACATGAAAAATAAATACATATAAAAATATATATATTTTTGAAGTCGGTTAATAAAAATAGCGCAGATGACATTAATATTATAATTTTAAAAAACTGTTTTCCCAACAACTTTTAAATTTGACAAATTTTCCTAAAATAGTCCATATTTGAGAATTTAAAAAAAAAAAGATTCAAATAAAAGATGATTATAATATTATTTTCTATAATTTTAGAAAAATCATGTGTTGGACACATCAGATTTTTAACAAATTAACAATATTTACCCCTTTAACTATCCTAACTTGCTCTTTAATAGCATCAATGGGCACATTTGTGGCGCCTATCTGTTGCGTAATACCACCAGCTTCGCCATCTTGGACATTCGTTCTTCTTAGTTTGTCCAAAATTTTAGTTTTTCCCGTATCTACGTGACCAAGAACGCAAACGATCGCCGCCCTCAGATTATCTGCAGACTTATTTTTCTCGGCGGCTTCTTTCCTAAGCTACAATAAAACAATAAAAAAAAAACAATACATCAGTGGCATTGGTGTCGAAAATTGCTTTGGTAATATCGAAGTTAAAAAACTAAGAAAATTACATTTTTGGTTCAGTGGATGCAAAGTATCATTTAGTTTTTATTTTAAATATCGCCAAAAACCAAAATATCTTTAGACATGCCCAAAAATCATTTAAAATATAGTCACAACTCAAAACTGTATCTAAAACTGTCTCAATTCGGGTTAATTTCTGCAAAAAAACATCCAATTTTTTTGCAAACTACGCAATAACTCAAGTTACGGCGCTTTTATTATCGTAATCGTTAATTTTAACAGCAAAATTAATAGCTTTTAAATAAAATATAAAGATTTTATGTCAAAGACAAATAATAATAATAATAGAGACACAATTTCAAAGTGAAATTTCTCAAAACAATAGTATTTTAGTTGTTGATTGAGCCATTGATATGTCAGTGTGTAAGGATGACGCTATTTTAAATTTAAACTCATAAAATATATAAAATCAATGAAAAAAATCACTCAAAAAAGTACGTACTGATCCAGGTTAAAGATTGGATTTTAACACGTTAAGCGCCACGGCGGCCAGTAGTGACAGACACTGATATTTCCTACAGGACCACAATGGTCAACAGAGACCGACTGTTTACATTGAGAAATCAATATTATGACTGCCAATAAATATGACATTGGTTACTGGTGACAGCTTTAGTTTTTATAAAAAAATAAAAACAATGATAATGTTTCGTTTAGGGGTAGTTTTATCAAACATTTTCTCCAATATAAGAGTTTAATTAATTAAAAAAATTACTTTCTGGAATAGTGGCACTTAACGTGTTAAGAATTATTTTTGTTATATTTAAAAAGTTAAAAAGCTTCAAATATACCTTAATTCTTTCCAAAGCTTTATCACGAGCTTTTTCGGCGGCCGGTCTGTTATCGCCATCGCTGGATTCCGATTCGCTATCGCCTTCGTCGCTATCGCTGTCTCCTTCTTCTTCGGAACTACTTTCTTCGTCATCTCCCGTTTTTTCGGACGACTGTTCCGTCTTTTTTTTACTATGCGCTTCGGTCGCGACCTCAGATTTTGCTGCAAATGAAATGTAGACTGTAATAATTTGTAATAAATATTCCTTTGAAATAAATGTACTAAAATAAAACGCAGGTCTGGAATTATAATCAACTAACTCAACACAAATCATTTTCTAACAAAAACCACAAAAGAATCTTTCTGTGATTCAGCCGTTTACAAATATTTGGAACATTACACAACTCCTATTGCTATCGGCAATCAGCGTCATATACAGGGCGAGAATTCCTTAAATTAAAAGATCACCTACAGAAAATTATTCATTATGCACATTCTGCACTACTTAGATTTGTCAATAGGCCGTATAGGCCGCGGCCTAGGGAGCGGCAAATTTCAGAGGACGTTCACTCGATTTCAGAGGATAAAAGTCAAACAAGTTCACTGATTTTTTCATGTTTTTTTTATACTAATACGTTAAATCTCTATAGAAACTCATTCCTATCGAAAATTATCAATACTAGGTACCTACTGTTATTGTACCTATTTTATCTATATTACAACGATTTGGTTCAAGAATGTGTGCATTTTCATAGTCACATTTCGTCTAATAAAACTGCAGAGTGTGCAGTGAAGCCTGAATCAAACTCACTACTGTCTCTCAACGTTTTTAATCTGTTTAATGTTTACCCTAACTTGAATATAGCTCTCCTCATCATACTTTCTATTCTGGCTACAAATTGTTCTTGGGAAAGAAGTTTTTCCTGTTCAAAACGCATGAATAATTATCAAAGGTCTTCATTGTCTCAAGAAAAAATTAATTCTTTAGCTCTTCTCTACATAGAAGCAGAGATAATAAATACCATAAACTATGATTATATTATAGATGATATTGCTATTAAAAAGTCTCGAAAAAAAATTGTAATTCTTTCGTTTATTTCACTTTAATTCCTTCCTTACTACAAATGGAAAATTATTATTTTAGAAAGGTACATGGGGCGGTGGAAATAAAGTGGCCTACATTTATAAAAAATATAAATCCGGCACTGAAAATTAATTACATTTATGCCAACATTTCGGCGTTTTTTAGGAAATAATATGAAAAAAGTAAGATGGCGGTATGACGTCTCTATGAATGGATGAGAGGCCAAATTTAAAAATTTTGAGACAAAATTTTACTTAGAATGAAGAAAAGAATTAATTGTAAATAAACTGAAAAAGACACTCTAAATATAATGTAACATCATCATAATTTTTGATTTAAAAATAAATTTTCTCAGTTATGATTGCACCAATTTTAAAAAACTTTACATTGTTGAAGAGATAGATAATTAAAATGCATTTTAAACAAGGTGACAAACAACCCCTTCTTCTATTTAAAATGTTTGAAGAAGTGCTCATAATTAAGAGGGGGTACAAAAGAGGTAATATTTTCATAATATATATTGCCAAATTGAGTATAAAAATCGACCTGCTTCAGGCATTTTCCCAAAATTACATAATTGTAGTACCTTAGAAACACTACATACTAACTACAATTCATAATATATTGATATACATGTCTCCAAAGTTAAAAGATCCCACAATAATAACGTTAAAAATGAATTTATTTCATACATATGACCCTGTATAACTTTTTAGTCATACAAAGTTGACAAGTAAATTACTTTATGATACACAGAGGAAAACATATTAAAAATATATTTTTGTTTATAATTAAATATCTAAATGAATTTTTACCCACTGTATATCAATTTCTAACATGCTAGCACATCAAAAAGCGATAGTGTGAGGATGTATAAGGATTTCGGAGGATGTATGATAATTTTCGAGGATGTCTGAAGGATTTATGATAATTTTCGAGGATGTCTGAAGGATTTATGAGTATTTTCATGGATTTATGAGAATTTTCGAGGATGTATTAATGATTTAAGAAGATTTTCAAGGATTTAAGAGGATTTTCAAGGATTTAAGAGAACTTTCAAAAATGTATGAATGATTTATGAGAATTGTCAAGGATGTATGAAGGATTTATGAGGATTTTCAAGGATTTATGAGAATTTACGAGGATGTATAAAGGATTTATGAGGATTTTCAAGGATTTAAGAAAATTTCCGACGATGTATGAAGAATTTATGAGGATTTTCAAGGATTTATAAGAATTTCCGAGGATGTATGAAGGATTTATTAGGATTTTCAAAGAATTAAGAGAATTTCCGACGATGTATGAAGAATTTATGAGGATTTTCAAGGATTTAAGAGATTTTCCGACGATGTATGAAGAATTTATGAGGATTTTCAAGGATTTATAAGAATTTCCGAAAATGTATGAATGATTTATGAGAATTGTCAAGTATTTATAAGAATTTCAGAGGACGTATGAAGGATTTATGAGAATTTTCAAGGATTTATGAGAATTTCCGAGGATGTATGAAGGATTTGTGAGAATTTTCAAGAATTTATTAGAATTTCCGAGGATGTTTAAAGGATTTATGAGGATTTTCAAGGATTTATGGGAATTTCCAAGGATGTATGAAGGATTTATAAGAATTTCCGAGAATTTTTAAGAATTTACAAGGAAGATTGAGGATAATATATGGATTTATTTCTACCAAAAGGATGTAAATGTAAAAAAAAATAGGTCAGTGGTTTGCCTCTCAAGAAAAATATACCAAACTATAAAATTATGCTTTAATCTGTCCTGCAGTGAACTGATTAAAATTTGCGCATAGTCGGAACATCTGGGGGTACTTTATAGGGAATTATATTTCTACTTTTTAGAATATATTTGTTATTTACGCTTGGAGAAAAAAATCTTCAAATAAAAGTTACTTGTAATGTTATTATCTATAATTTTTGCCATAAACATAATTTTCCTAAAATGGTCCATATTCGAGAAATTTGACAAAATGTACAAAATTCAATTTTTTTTAAAAAATTGTTCAAATAAAAGTTGTTTGTGACGTCATTATCTATAATTTTTGCCATATACAAAATTTCTCTAAAATGGACCGTATTCGAGAAATTTGACAAATTGTGCAAAATTCGAATTTTTAAGAAAATTATCAAATTTTTATACCTGTGTCGACCGACGTCTCTTGCGATTCCTCTTCTTCGTCAGAAGAAGAAGCATCCCAAGCGTCCTTAACATCTTCCGCGGGTTCTTCCTTGGGAACTTCTTGTATGGTTACAACAATCTCTTCCTTGGCAGGCTCTACTTGATCAGGTTGAGGTTGTTCATTTTCTGGTTTCGCAACTGAAATAATTTAGATAAAATAAATTTCCTTTTTCTCAAATGTGATCAATATATTCAAAGAATACAAAAATAAAACGCTAAATCAGCGCCACAAATTAAATAGCAACAACTTAAAGGTAAAAAAAAATAAAAATGAAATTTATACAGAAATATTGAAGATGAATCTCAAATAATGAGGACACAATAATAATAATCTCACAATTTTGTTGATCTAAAAAGAAGTACCTGCGTTTATGGTTTAACTCCAATAGATATGTTTAAGATTCATCTTCAATCTTTCCACAAATCTTTTATTTTTAAAATTTTTGCCTGATGATGACCCAAGTAGGTCGAAACTAGTTGTGTACATTTTTGGTGTTTCATTTATTCGGTACCGATTTAGCGTTTTAATTTTGTATTCTATAAAATAATTTAGATCAATAATATGTATTTTGAAAATGACACAGTACATACCTGCTACTTGTTCTTTTTTCGATTTGGTTGTTCTGACTCTAGTACCGAGACGTGGTTTACGTTCCCCTACATCCGGTAGTTCTACACCTTGCGCTTTTAAGTTATCTATCATAGCCTGAGCTCTTGCTCTATCAGCCTTAAAATCATCAATAAAAACAATAAATTAATTTAAAGATAGCAATTATATTCATTAATAAATGATAATAATCATAATCGATAATGGAAAATATTTAAAAAACAGCTAGAACAAGACTATTATGCCTGTTTCTATTAATAAAACAAAATTACACAAATTTGGGTTATGAACACATTTTGGTGCAATGATAATCCTGTCAAATTATGGGAACATCACCTAGGTGGAGTTCTAAGTTGAAACACCTAAGGAAAAGGGTTAGGAAATTATTTTTTATACATGATAAAACTACGAGAACATTAAAAATTGTCAGAAAATAGAAAAGGGAGAGTTTTTTAAACTATTTGTTGTGTATCTTGCTCTTTTTTCTATTTTATAATAAATTTTTATTATTTTACACCTATTTATGGTCTTATTACTTAAAACATCTAATTCAAAGTTCTAGTTTTTTTTCAAAATTATTTTTTTTTTGTACTATTTGTTTATCTTGCTTTTTCGTCTATTTTATAGTGAATTTGTATCATTTTACACCTAATTAAGATCTTATTACTTAGAATGTTTAATTCAGGACGATTATTCCGTAAAGAAGAACCCCGAAGTGCTCTAATGATGAATAAAAAAAACTCATTAATAATAAAAATAATTATCTTGGAAACCCAATAGAATTTCGAAAAAATTACTACTTATTTGAGAGAGGTCTTGAGGATATCATTTTTGTAGAGGCATTTATATTTCTTATTCTATAAATAAAAGAATACTCCATTGTAAATATTTATGATAATCCTTTGAACGATATTTTTTAGTTGTATATGGTAAATTTAATAAAAAAATATTGGTCCAGAAAAAACTATCCTTCTCTTGTTGAGGCATATTCAAATTTACCAGATTGCATCAAAACCTCATCAGAATCCAAAAAGCTTCATTTTTTAAATTAATTTTTTGAGAACATTATTTAAGCCATCTGTTTTTATGATAATAGTCATCAAGGGACATAAATATTTCCTTTTCTGACGTGTATGTTGATAAAAAAAGAAGAAAAATGTAAAAAAAATTAGGGGATAAAAAAATTATCTGGCACAAGTATTAAAAGTAATTTCAAAAAACCGACTTCAAAATGATCAGATGTCGTCAATTCATCTTAACCAAATTTATATGGGACTACCCCTGAGGTACCCCCTTACTAACAAAAATGGAATCATAGAAATTGGACAAAGTGGTAAAGAATTACCACTAAACATACATTAAAAATGAAGAGTTTGAGGATTTTCTAATGGACCCAATTATTATATTTTGACAAATTTAATATGGGACCACCCCTGAGGTACCCCCTTACTAACAAAAATGGAATCACAGAAATTGGACAAGGTGGTAAAGAATTACCACTAAACATACATTAAACATGAAGAGTTTGAGGATTTTCTAATGGACCCAATTATTAGATTTTAACCAAATTAATATGGGACCACCCCTGAGGTACCCCCTTACTAACAAAAATGGAATCATAGAAATTGGACAAAGTGGTAAAGAATTACCACTAAACATACATTAAAAATGAAGAGTTTAAGGATTTTCCAATGAACCCAATAATTAGATTTTGACCAAATTAATATGGGACCACCCCTGAGGTACCCCCTTACTAACAAAAAAAGAATCATAGAAATTGGACAAGGTGATAAAGAATTGCTACTAAACATGCATTAAAAATGAAGAGTTTGAGGATTTTTTAATAGACCCAATTATTAGATTTTGACCAAATTAATATAGGACCACCCCTGAAGTATCCCCTTTCTAACAAAAAAAGAATCATTAAAATGGGACACTGTGTTAAAGAATTATCGCTGAACATACATAAAAAAAAATATTACCATGAATTGAGAAACTTCTCCTTTTTTGAAGTCTGTTAAATATTGAGAGAAATGAGATAACAAATGCTAGGTAGAGGGAAAAAAATAAAAAAAAAACAAATAATTGGTGAATTTAAGATACATGTAGTCATTACCTTTTGTTTGGCAGTCAATAATTTCCCTTCAGCCTTTAATCTTTCTTTGCGCTCCTTCTCCTTTTGTTTCTTTCTCTCTTTTCTCTCTTGTTCCAATCTAACTGCTTCTAGTCTAGCTATCTCTGCCTCTTCTTCTAGTTTGATCCTTTCTTCCTCTTCCTGCTTTTGTCGTTCTTCGTCTTCCTTTAATTTCTTAAGGGCTTCTTGCATAGCAGCAATTGTTTTCTTTCCAGGACCTACATTATTTTATAAAGAATTTATTTATTGTTCCATGTATTTCTAACGTGAGTGTTATTGAAATAAAAGTGACAGGAGTGTGTGATGTCCAAAAAGAATGACACCAATTTTAGCATTTAGTTCTTAAATGGGCCAATTTTTAATTTTTCTATACATTTACACTGTTTGTTGGAACATTGCAATATGTATGAGAAATATTTTTGAATTAAACATACCCAACATTGATATTTCCTGAATAAAATCAATCAAAGCCCACTAATAGCCTTAATTAAATCTAATCTACTCCCTAATATTTCAAAATTCTAGTCACCTGATTTTCTTTAAAGTAAAATAAGTAACAATTAATTATTTACAACAGAAAAGACAGCTTCACTAAAAATATGTAGGTGTCTGCTAGCTTTATTTTGTATTAATTTGAAAATGTGACAAAATAATGGACACACCATTTCTAAAACATGATAACCAACGTGTACCTTATTAATCTAATAAAAAGTACAAAAAGGAGCTTGCTAAGTTAGCAAGCATGAACAGCAAGATTAATGAGAGATGATAAGAATATAGTATTCTGCAAATCTTGTTTTGATAGCAACAACAGAATTGACCTGATCATGTACCTTTCTATATATTTTATTTTAAAATGAGCTTTAATAAAGTTATACCTTTCTTGGGATCCTTATCCTTAGCTTCTTTGTCTTCCTCCTCTTTTCCACCTTTCTTTTTCTTGTTTTTTTTACTCTTCTTCTCGGCATCTTGATCATTGTCTTCCTTTTCTATTTTTTCATCAGTCAATTTAACTTCATCAGTTGGTTTTTCTTCTGGAATTGGTTCAGCAGATCCTTCTTTAGGTTGATCTTGTTTTTTAACACCGGCCTTCTTCTGTTTTTCTCTTTCCTTTTTTTCCTTCTTTTTCTGGGCTGCTGTTTTTACCGTGCTCGTTTCAATTTCTTCACTTTCTTTTTCTTCTGCTTTAGCTTTCTTGATTTTGTCCTTTTCTTCTTTAATTTCTTCACTTGGCTGCTTTGTTGGTGGTTCTTTTACTACACCGGAGTACTCCATTTCTAATTCTGCTAAAACCTTCTCTATTTCATCATCACTGTCATCACGTTTTTTTCCTTTCTTTTTCCCTTTTTTACCCCCCTCTTTTGTAGTCCTATTTTCATCACTAGATTTCTTTTTATTGTCCTTTTTAACTAATATAGCTTCAGTTTCACTCTCGTCATCTTTCACAGGGTTTGAATCATCCGAATCGCCATCATCTACTTGCAAAAGTGCAAATGAACTTTTAACATTAGAAACAATGTCTGGTTCAGATTCATCAGAGGCGGCAGCCTGTTTTTTTTCTTTTTTACCTTTCGGCTTCTTAGAATCATCTTTCGGACCATCATTTAGCGGCTGAGGTCTACAATTTTTATTAAATTGTGTAACTTTAAACAAATACCTTAACCTAACATTTTAACTATTTAAATTACTTACTTGGACGTCTTGGATTTTTTAGTTTGAGATTTTTCAATTAATTCTTGCGTATTATTTTCTACGTCGGAATCACTAAAATTAAAATAAATGTATTATCTGCATTTATAACGGCAATTTATTACATGGATGTTACCTTTCATCCCCTGTTCCTTTTCGGATTTTCTTAGATTTACCCATATTTTACTGCTATTTAAATTACTCTCTAAATGTAGAATTTCTGTAAATATTATCATAAGTGTATAATTTGTTTAAAAATAAAGTATTTCTCAACAATCTGCTATTGATAACTGGTAAAATTCACCACATGCATAAAATATGTCCAAAAAGTCTTTTGACATTTACTTATGATTTGACAAATGTCAAATGAGATGTCCGTTGTCTTCTGTCAACAATCTGACGTATTAAAGCTGCGTTCGGTAATACAAGTATTTAGTACAAAACTGGACTGAAATGCCTAGATGAGCATGCATATTTTAATTTGAGATAAAACCAGATCTTTACGTTTTATGAACTCACAAAAAAATGTTTTTAAAAAAGTCCATCTGGCTGTACCTATGTAATAAATATGTGACGTTTTTTGTTAGCACCATACAGCTTAAATTATCCGGCCGATTTACACTTCATCTCAGCGGCGCTGGTGTTGCTAGTGATGTTAAAAATACTTTGCTTCTTATGGGAATTTTACATAATTTTGTAAAAATAATAAAAATTGTTTATTGCAAAATAAAACACATAAAATAATATTGTATTTATTTCTAAATAAGTCTTGCTTGTTTTAAGTGGATAAATTATTTAATTTTATCTATATAAAAGGCAAATTAGGTATAACCAAATTCGAAATGTTTTGTTAAATGGTGAAATTACAATTTTGTGGCTAAATTTTTTTTAATTATACCTAAATATAATTTTAATAGCCAAATAAAACACAGTTAAAAGATTTTTTATTGTTATAAAACCAGTATAAGGGTATATTCGAGAATAGATGGTACTGCCTCATTATTTTTTATGTCCTATACCTGCTGGTAACTAGACTGGTGTCTTCGGTAATTTCTTGAATATCCATTTACCAAATCATCGTTCTAGTGCTAGTGTATTCTATAAATGATTCACTACGACTAATCACAGGCGTAGCACAAAGGTGTTGCCTTTTATCTTTAAATATTCTTTGTTAATCAGTCCTGAAAGCCCAAACAAGGTAGAGAAAGAAGGACTTAAAGGATTATAGCATGATCAGATCGATCGGAAATGGCTCGCTTTACATCACTATTAATTAGGTAGTTAAGTATTGAATATAATTCACTGGGTAGTATTTTTTTATTAGGTAATACCTACATTTTTGATTAATATGTTATTCGAGTTGATGTCTTTTTGAAGTCAAAAGGTACAGTATACCTACTATATGTCTAATGTCTTATTATACTTATATTTTTACTCTAGGTTGTGGACCTCTTTGACCTGGTACTAAAAGAAAATTTAGAATTCAAGAATTAAGGTTTACATTTTAAAGACAGTGATCAACTTTGGAAGAGCCTAGTCCACCATCAACTTTGGAGGAACATTTATAGGTCACTATCAAATTCATCTGGTACCAATTTCGTTTAAATAACAAAACATCTTTACAATTATTATATAGTTTTATTTATAAAGAGGTAAGAATTATATTTATATATGCATTTAATGAATACATTATCCAGGTAGTTATAGTCCCATCATCTCAGTTGATATTCCAACCTAAAAACAAACAAAAATACATTAATAAGGGATATTTAAATGCTTCCTCTAATGCTCTAACTTTATCTATAGCTCTATAGAGCAGTTGTATGTAACGCAACAGTGGTAGAAAATTAATTTCTGAAGCACAAAAAAACGACAGTATAAAACGGACCTGTTCAGATGTGTCTTGAGCCGTTCCATACAGTATTTTCCTCAAAACTATTTTCTCTAGGCGAAAATCAGGTCAAAGCGCTGAATGATAGAAACACATAAATAGCGATGATAAAGTCTATTCCAATTCCGATGAATCCTTATTTTTTTTGCCCTACTTTAAAAGTAGTATCTAGTATTTAATAGGTCTTTTCCTTTGCATCGAAAGTGTAGCACTGAGCTACACCACTTCTGAAAATATCGTTCCATTTATACAAATTGTATGGATGGAACAATATTTTCAGAAGTGACGTAGCTCAGTGCTACACTGTCGATGCAAAGGAAAAGACCTATTATAACAAATAAGTGATCAGAAGTCATGTTCTAGTTATGGTAATGCACGAAAATGCACCATATTTGAATAATTAATTTTCCTATTTTTTGAACACTCAATATGATTTATTTTACAAAGTGAAAACACGTGTCATAAGTTTCATAAAAAAAAACATGATATATGAAAATATTAATTCTGCATTTTTGACTCCTTCTAAAAGCTCATACTGTATAAAGCTGCAAAAATTGAGGTGTATAAGAAAGTTGTCCATTATGACCTGAAAAATGACTTACTAAAATTTGAACAATACTGACAGTAACCAAAATAAATGTAAAACGTGCAAGGTCCTTTGTTTATTATAAAATAATATAATTTCCTAAAACAATGGTTATGGCAACGTCGCATTACATCACGAGTTGTAAGAACCGATCATGCGCATAAAGTTGATAATTTGACATTTACCAAATTCAAATTTAAAAATTCTTATTGTGATTATTGTGTTTTAAACTTAATTTATTTAATTTTAGTTAATTTAGAATTGTTTAAAAATGATGTTTAATTATTAAAAATTGGGTGTTGATGTGTGTTAGTTTTATATGTGTTATACGTGATTTAATATCAACAAAAACAGGTTAGTTTTACTTATAAATAATTTTGGGCAAAAAAATTAACAATACTTTTGAAATTTAGATGTATTAACACAGGTTTGAGGTACATTTCACTTTAATAAAAGTTTTTAAATTATGTATAACTATATATATAATATAAATTATATATAACGAAAGGTAAACATAGTTTTATCAAAAAATAAAACGATTGGCTAGGATCGCGAGCTCTCATTGGCAGAAATCCCAAAATTTGACTAATTTGACAGATGAAAAAGGTAATTTGAATTAGGTATTACCAATATTAGACATCGCTTGTAATTTTGAAATGTTCATCTAGAATGCTGTGACGTCACATGAAGAGAAATTTTTTGTCTTTTGACTTTTGGGTAGCGTCTGTGTGCATCGGTCTGCTTTAAACGTGAACTTTTTTCGGTAATTATCAATTAAAAATTGTTATTTCATTAAAATCGTGTGTTTCATCTAGACATCAAACGATTTACGAGGTATGTAAGCTATTTTATTTGTAATTTTCAAAACCGCTAAGTGTAGGTTTGAGTCATACCTCTTGCACTCACTATGGGTATGATGCTTTCTGAAAAAATATTTGATATTTAACTGAAAATTATATTTCGAAATTAATATATATACTTTTATTGCTTTTACGTATACATTTCTATTTCGAAAATGCTAGTAGGTATTTATTTAATTTAATTTCTCGAAGAAATAATGTTGCATATTTTCCGGTTGAATCTAGTAGGTATTCTCTGTATTTGCCATTTCACAATATTGCGCAATAAGTGATGAGGTTAATATTTTTTTGTAATTAAATAAATTTTTCGAGATGTTTTCATATTAAATGAAGTGTTTCCCTTCTAGACAGGTTTATGAATATAAATCAACTTTTTAGGTAAAAGGTAGAACTTGTTTTTACATTTTTATTATAGGTATTCTTTTTTCTATTAACAAAAACACTACCTAAATATACGATATACCTACAAATTTTATTCTGTATTTTACTGCAGTAGTAATGAAAGTTTTTATGATGTTTTGAGTTTTTATTTGTAGTATTTTGACAAATATATTTATAGAAATACATGTGTAAATTATGGAAAAAGCTAGGTAGATAGGTAGGTACCTATATCTACCTATCAACAAGTGTCAACTTGTTTTCTCTATAAAAAAAATATCAGTTTCTATATTTTAAATTTGATTTCTTTAATAGAATAATAGTAACATTCAGTTTGTAACACATATATTATCCATATACAGTGAGATTCAAAACATTGCACCGTGTAAAACTTATTTTTGATTTTTCAAACAAAAATTATTTCTAGATAAAAGTTTGATTTGAAATGATTTTCAATATAAATTTAATAAATTAAATTTTGTTGTTACCGCATACGAAGGAAGTCTAAAAAATATTATTTGTAGGTACTATTATACCGATTGTCCCATATATATTTTTAATTTCTTTGTTTTTAATTTGTAACTTCTTTAATAAAATACCTACCTAATAGTTTAACAGCTTATAGGGTTATCATATACAGAGAGATTCAAAAAAGTTTGCAGAGGCTGACAAACTTTTTTATTTTATTTATTTTTGATAAAACTCTGACCTATAACTGAATTTCAATATTAGCTCAATAAATTTTAATTTTTTTTATCTCATACAATTAATTTGAAATGCAAAAATGAGTGTTTATTACTTAAATTCGCAGTAGGGTGAACCGTCCAGTTAATGACCACTTTAGGCAACAGTGATATATACATATTTGTAAAAATGTTCGTTTTGTTTTTAAAAGAAAAAGCAAGGAATAGCTGGATGAATTTGTTTACTAATTTAACTTTTTTAACAAAAAAATGTAAACATGTTTATTTGTTTAAAATATTCGATAATTTTTAAGATATAATGCATAAAATCCTAGTAAATGACCAGTTCCTTTGAGTAATTGACCAAAAATAATACCAGTAAATGACTACAAAACTTTATTGTCTAAAAGAAAACATAAATACTTAGTTTAAAAAAATTAAAGCAGTGTTTCATACTTTTCCATTTCAGGAACTGAATACACATTTTCTCGACTATATATTAGCATTGGTGGTTCAATGTTTTTAGTGACATCCTCTTCTTTATACCATATTTGGTCATTTCCAATTTTGTGCACTTTTACACATGACTCGCACATCATATTCTCCTCTTTGTTTTCGTATAACAATACCGGGAAAATAACTGTTCTCATATTTGACAATCACGAAATCAGCAATGGTAAATGTAGTTGGTGGCATAGATTCATTGATTTCATTTTCATCCTGGTTTTCTTGTTCAATTTCCTCTAAAGATTCTTCATCTGAAATATTCGAATCACTTGAACTTGAAGAAGATTCTCTTCTCTTTAACTTTTTTGGTCTATTTTCTTTATTTTTGTTTAATTCTTCACGTCTATGTTTTTTTCCTCTCTAACTTTTTCTTTGTTCTTTTAATTCTTCAGCAATTCTTTTTTGTTCTTCTTTCTTCTCATGATATTCTTTCCAATATTTGGAAGTTATTGCCAAAGGGGCTTTTTCTTTAACACTTTTTTTAGTGGCAATTTCCAACTTTCTTTTGTGTTTCTTTTGACTCATTTTCCTCATTTTGATTTTCAATTTGGATGCTTTTATTTTGAGTATTGTCTTGGTTTTCTACATGTTCCATTTCTTCTTCAATTTGTTCACATATATTTTCATTTTTTTTTTGTAATCTCCGGGGCACTTTCTTAATTTTCTACATTTCTAATTTCTTCAACTGCCTGATAATCATCAGTTTCTGTGTCCATCATTATTAGAACATTATTTTTCATATTTTCTCTTTCGTCTTCTAATGCAATATAATTCTCGCCATTTTCTTCATTGGGGTTGTCTTGATTTTCTGCATATTTTTTCCATAATTTAAATAATTTATCATTATTTAAAACTTTTTGTGCTTTTCTCCCTTCTCTGTATGTTTTTAAGGTCTCTGGGGAAATTTCACTCTCAAGAATTTTTAAAAAGTTCGTTTTATCAATTCCACTCTGATTACTCTCTGCATTATTGTTATCTTCTTTTAGTGCTGCCTGACGAGTATTCATACATTTTGAAAAATCAACATTATTTGCATTAAATGGAAATATGCCACATGCCCTGACGGCGTTTTGTATGGTTTCAATTTTACTGGCATTTTTAAATGCTTGTGTAAAAATAGGTGCAAAAGATACTTTGGTTAGAGATTTTCTTGTTTCTTGTTTATATTTCTGACACTGCTTCCTCCAGGATACTTTTAGAGGTCTAAAGATACCAACATCGCATGGCTGTAATATGTGTGTAGCATTTGGTAATAGACAATAAAAAATAATTCTTTTTTCTCGGCAAAAAGTGGCTAGTTCAGGACTGATATGTGACTTATGTCCATCTAGCAGAAAGAGAACAGGCAATTTTATGTTATTATCTAACAGCCATGGATAGAAATTATTCGCCACATACTCAAAAAATGTAGGACCAACTATCCAACTTGTATCACTTCGACCAATATAAAAATTATCAGGGATAGAGTTAGCAATGTCTCTAGGTATTCTTTTGTATGGATATATTATAAATGTTGGAACTACTTTTCCACTGGCAGAAAAATTTGCTAATACAGTCAGGCAATCTTTTTCTTTTCCGACAGCAACATCATAAAAATTTCTAAGCACCTTTCCTGCATTATAGATCCGATCAGCATCTTCAAGAACATCAACAGCATCTTCTTCTATTAAATAACTTTTAAGATCCTGAAACCACTTTCTGATATCTTGCTCAGTTACGCTAGCTCTAGTTTTGGAAATAATTTCAGCATTTCTTTTCCCAATATCTGGCTTTTCTTTTAAAAATCCTTTTAGCCATTTATCACCGGGACGATTGTTGTTGAATGGATTAGGACGCTGGGTTTCTTCCATTACCTTTTGTACGGCATCTTTCACTTCATCTGGATGCATAGGAAACCCAATTCTTTTTTTGTTAGAAAGGGGTTACTTCAGCGGTGGTTCCATATAAATTTGGTCAAAATCTAATAATTGGGTCCATGAGAAAATCCTCATAATATTAATTTTTTATATATGTTTAGCGATAATGCTTTACCACCTTCTCCGATGTATATGATTCTTTTTTTGTTAGTAAGGGGGTACCTTAGGGGTGGTCCCATATAAATTTGGTCAAGATGTGGTGACGGCATCTGCACGTTTTTGAAGTCGTTTTTTTTAATTTTTAATTTCTAATACTTATAGGATGTAGATTACGCTGTTAAAATGACCGTCTAATTCCGAGACACCCTGTATATTGGAAATTCGAAATAATAGTTATGACGTAGCGGTGTTCTTCTAATTGTAATCGGACCCTAGGTATATGGATACGGAAAGTGATGAATTGGAGATAGATAAATTGTATTTATTGTATTAAAGGAACAACAAATATAAGTACAAATAACTATTAAAACACGAAATGTTAATTTTTTCTCTTTTACAACACAAAATATACAATACTGTTGAATGAAAATTTTTTTTGACGCGACAATTATGATGCTTTGCATCTCATGAATTAAAGCTAATTCATTTTCAATCTTAAGGTGATCACACCCCTTATAATTTTCGGACAAGAATATCTCAAAATATTCAAATTTTGGCAAAATAAATTAAGCAATAATATCTAGAATATGCATATATTTTAATGTTTTAATTCCTTCCAGTTTCCGAAAAAAAATTAAAAGGGCTTTAATTTTGAAATATAGTGAAAATAAATGCATTCCTCGACAGCACTATTCTTAATATAATACCCAAATTTAAGCTCCTAATGTCTTGTTAATGATTTCTTAAAATTCGCCAAAATAAGTGGCTAAAACGCCTCGTTAAGTGCTATCTTCTGGTGTAAACTGGTGTAAATCGTTGCAAGAAACGAATAATGACGAGTGTGCGATACGATAATTACAGGCGCGTTACACCAGAAGGTAGCACTTAACGAGGCGTTTTAGCCACTAATTTTGGCGAATTTTAAAAAATCATTACCAAGACATTAAGAGTTTAAATTTCGGGATTATATTAAGAATAGTTCTGTTGAGGAATGCATTTATTTTCATTATCATATTTGATTTTTTTCTCTCGGAAACTGAAAGGAATTAAAACTTTAAAATATAGGCATATCTAGTTAATAACCTAATTTATTTTGCCAAAATTTTAATTTTTTAACAAAATTACTTTTTGAAATATTCTTGTCCGAAAATTATAAAGGCTGCTGCATTCACCTTAATATACCAACATACAGGGTGTTTCAAAATTCATACGACAAAATTTAGGAGGTAATTGCGCGTATGAAATTAATATGGGTCTTTCCTATAACAAAATTTCCTCAGCCCACCCCTTTCCGAGATATCACCCTTAAAAGGTGGTGACTAAAATTGAGTTTTTATTTTTTTTCTAAAATTTCAGTTAAACTAGAAACTTGTTAAACTTGTTAAATTTTTTTCCCAAAACCAATAGCTTCATAGAAAAAAATATTGGTTTCCACTCAATTTTTTAAAAAAAATGATAAATTAGGGTTTTTATTTTTTTTTCTCTGAAGCTATTGGTTTTGGGAAAAAAATTCACGAATAAAAAAAAATTAAATAAAACAAGGATTTCAAGGTATAATTTTATTTCATAAAAGTTTATCTCGAAAAAAAGTTTTGATATAAAATAAAGTAAGGGTTGCTAATTTCACCCCCCTATAATGTAAAAGGAATATTGGAAAAATACCTGTGGTTAGTCCTTTGTGAGTGCATGAAAATTACAAAAATTTAAAGTTTCTAGTTTTACTGAAATTTTAGAAAAAAAAAATAAAAACTCAATTTTAGTCACCACCTTTTAAGGGTGATATCTCGGAAAGGGGTGGGCTGAGGAAATTTCGTTATAAGAAAGACCCATTTTAATTTCATACGAGCAATCACCTCCTGAATTTTGTCGCATGAATTTAAAAACACCCTGTATATTGACGGTCTCAAATCAATACCTCTTATGTCCAAATTGAACATTTTAGAGGAAGAACATTAAACTGTCTTTATTACTTAATAAATTCAATTAATTATTTGATAAATAATGTTAACAAGTAAATAAATATATGAATAACCTAAGAACGTAGTTATTTTATTTTAAAAATTTTGTTCTAAATTAATTTGTATAGATCGGAAAAAGTAAAAATTCGAAATTTCTGACTTACGAGGTATTGATTTGAGACCATCGATATACTATACCTACAATGTGACTACCCGATTTTGAAAAATAATTTTTCTATTTATTCAAATTTTAATTAATACATATATCTAATTTTTTTATTTCTTTCTCTTTTCAGTGCTTTAAAATCAATGTGTCGCATCGCTATTAGTCCGAAAAATGTAACGGGTAGGAGTGTGTTGGAGTTGCTAGTATATACATCAATTTTACTCGGTTTTAAAATTAGTTTTTTTTCGAAAAGCAACTCATGTTTGTTGACGTCGTCTATGCCGATGGGACACATGCGCAGAAACTTATTTCTGTCTGTTGTATCGACATAGACGATGTGGCGTATTTGTAATCGTTTCATTTGACAATAAAGACGTTTTATCTTCAGAACTTTATACCTTCCGAATTTATTTTCTGTGGAACAAGTACGAGCGGAAAATATTCTGCAGGATTTAGTTTTTCGAAGGTGTAAATTCTGCACAGATCGAATGGACAAGGCTGCAAAAATAGTGGTCGGCGATGGTTTTACGGTTTTTATTAAACTCAAATGAACTTATTTGGAAAAACCGTATTTTTTTAATATAGATAGACTTGTAGGTACAACTATTAAGTTTTTTAAAATGTTTCTAATTTTTTATTTATTTATTTATTAACGAAAATATTTGGCACTATAAAAAACATTCGCTATTTAAACAATAGAATATAACCTTGTTTTTTTAATTTTTAACTTTAACATCCTGTTAACAAAAAAATTGACGGTTTTAGAATATTTTTTATTTAGCAAACTCTTTAAAGTTTTATCTATTTTCTCTTTAACACTTTGTTTTAAAATTTATACGCAAAACAAATAATGTTGTAGTTTTTTGGTTACCAAGTAAAAAAATTTGAGTTTAATAACAACATGGAGGCATTGAAGGCTTGCTATTGAAACGAAATGAGTCGTAGAGTATTGAGGTCAGAATGAAAGATCGTCGCCGGGAACAGAAGATGTCCGGAATTAAATATACCGGGTGTCGCGAAATAAGTGGTTTTTGGATCTACGATGGAAAAGACGGGACAATGGATGGAACATGGGTCTTCGTTAACTTCAATTCGAGGTGAGTGTTTATTAATTTCTTACTTATACTTTCGATACCATTTTTTAATAGATAAAAGTTTCTCTTACACCGCAGCTAAATTATACAATACACTGCCTAAAGAATTTGGATCGTACACTCTAATTAATTTAAAAGAAAGGTTAAAGGAAAGGTTAAAAAACATGATGGTCGGTTTAGGATGATTTAAATTAATTGGGCTCTATAGATTCTAATAATATAGTTCGTCAGTCTTCTACAGTCTTAGGATTTATTATAAGAAATTGTAGAACTTTTTTAATGAACTTGCTCTAATATGCACATTTAAAACATATTTACTATTACAGTTTTTTTAAGAAAAATGGTATGTGGATTTTTGTTTTCATTTAACCTCCCCAACGCATCTGTAAAATATGTTGCAGGGACTTGATAACACCCTATATTTATCATTATAAAAATGTATAATAGTAATTATCACATACCTTTTTAGCTTCAGCTACAGCACATGAAGCTAAATTAACAGCTGTCAAACAATGATCTTCTACCACGATAGATGGTTTGTTACAAGTTTGATATACAGTATTCAGTTTTTCATATAATTCTGCATCGTTGTCTTTAACTTTCTCCATTAATTTGTTAGCTTCCTCTGTATTTATAGTTCCATCTTCGTTTTGCTAAAACAAATAATATTTCACATTGTTATCCACTGGCATATAAATTTATATAAGTTTTATTTGATTATATATATACCTAAGCAAATATAAAAATAAAAAACTAAAAATGTTTAAACTTTTTATGATCATTTTGCGTGTGACTGAAGGCTAATAAGGCTCTATGAAAAATAGGGAAGAAGAAAAATTATAAAAAAACACAAACAATAGTGCAAAACGGACTGAATTAATACTCAAAATCTGTACTGCACTTATTTGTTTTTTTTTTGAAGTTATAAGAATTTTTGGTAACAATTGTCGTCATATGATTGATAAAATAGGGAATAAATATAAGCGAAGTACTAAAATTTATTTCTAATACAATATTATTTAGAAAATGTTTAACATTGGTGATTTTCGATATTTTTTTTTTTAGTTACATGACTAGGCACTAACATTAAAATGGCTCTAAAATAGGAGCCACTCTGAGATTAAAACGATTTTAACCAGAACCCAACATATAATCATTAAATAGCGCCCAACGTGCCATATTATCTTGTACATTGCTTTCATATAAAATCCTATTTTCTAGTAAAATAAAGTTGATGGTACTTACAATTTTGAATTTTTTATAAACACAAGATATCATGCATTTTCCTTCATGGGTATCAGGAATTGTATGTGCCATAAGCTGAGCGACATCATCTGAAAAAAAAATACATTATATTATGGTACTCGTAGTACTAATTGAAACTTCAATAGTCATAATTTAAAATAATTTTCAATTTCAACCATAAAAATAGGTAATCAATGAGATATATTTGTCTAGACTTCATTGTTTCGATTTGAAAAACCATAATCAATACATGTAACTTAAAATTGTAAAAATTGAACTAGGTACTGTAAAAATTGAACTAGGTACTGTAAATACTTGAACGATTTTTTTACAAAAAAAGTACTTTTTTTCTATACACTCACACTCTTCTATTAAAAAAAATAACTTTATGCCTTGTACAAACTGTTTATTCAAAAAAAATTATATTATTCGAAACAAAAAGTTACTAGCAAAGTATATTTCAATTACCTCCTGAAGCTTTGGTTTCTTCAATACATGTTTGTGCAAATTTTGTCACTTTTTCCATAAATGCTTGAAGTAGTTTGGGGTCCAGCTAAAAAGAAAAATTATCATAATATATCATACATATTAAGTGAAAGAATAATCTGGATAATGCAAATTTTCTCAGAAATGTACCGAATAGGCGTTTAAAAGAACAAAATAATGAATAATCGCCCAATTAATTAATTAATTAATTAATTAATCAAGCATTTATTAAATCTAATATAATATTTTCCAAACGGTCGACTAATTATGACATTTCAGGTCGTGGAATACCTTAGAATGTCATGAAAAGAAAGAAAATGTCCTCTAAAAGTAAGTGCGATTTTTCCTTTAGAAGTTAGACTTTCAATTTTTCGCGCACGTGGGCATATTATTTTTTTTAATTTTAACTCAAAATACCTTGAAAAATCTTTTTATTGGGTATTTGGGCTTAGAAAAGGCAAAAATTACTTCTAAATTTTTTTAGGGCTTCTCAGTTTTCTCGTAGGGCCCCAAAATCGCTTGAAAACCTACTTTCGGCCCCATATCTCGTTTCACATGATCCCTATCGTTTTGATCCCTTCGATTATTCAGGTCAAAAAATTGCTTGAAATTACGTGATAAAGAATTGCCTAAACTCAAAAGGACAGAAATAATCGAAGATGACGGTGTCTTGTTGAAAACAAACAAAGACGCCTATCACAAGAGTATTATTAGGAAAACTAAAATTAATTTAGAAAATATTTTATACCTGGGGTTTTTCAAACGTCTAAAATAGAATATAGTACCGAAGAAATAAGTAAAACCCCCCTTAGAAAATCTTATTCTTGCCATAGAGTTAGGCAACGCTAGGTTCTCGTTGGCCATTGAAGTACAAACTTGCAAAAATCAATATTTGAACAAATTATACTAGTAATCAAATCATATTTATTCCCAAGGGACCAGAAAACGTTAAGTCACATTGCAAAATCAACCAAATTTTCAAAATTCAGAATCCGTCCCTTATTAGAAAAAGGCAAAACACTAGATCTACCATAAACTCAAAATTCGAAGAAATGATCAAACTTCAAATATTAGTAAAATAAATTTCGACAATTTATACGAAATGAGTAGAATCGCCAAACAATAGAAGAACTGAGGGACTTTTACCAAATTCCAATAATAGTAACATTCTTAACACTAAATTTTTTTGATATATTGATATTTTTATACATTTTTAAAAGATGACAAAGACAGAGAAGCTGTCAAATGGAGAAAATTGCAAAAAATTCGAACTGCAACAATAACTCCCTTATTTTTGAGTCTTAGGGACGGAGGAGTTACGTGAGCACATATAGTGAGGTAGACAGACATTTTTCACAGGAGGGGTTTCTGAGAACAAAGTGAAATATTTCACATAAGATTGTTTTTTTTTTAAAGAAAATAAAAATAATCCTTTATAAATATAAAAATAGTTAATAGTGACGCGAATGCTCTCCATGGGGGTTATGACCCTCCAATCCCCTTGTACGATTTTTAAAATTACTTTTAAAATTTGTATACATTAAACATTATTGGAATTTTATTTTTGTTCAATATTTTTTTTTCTTTTTAGTAATTAATCTCAAATGGTAAACAAATCAAGTTATTTAAAGTATTTTGAAAACAATTAAATAGTTTTTTGTACTCACAGCATTCGATGAAACAACAAACAAAGTCAACACCACTAAATATTTCATTTTTAAATTATTTCACTTTATAATTTCGCTTAGGTACTTGATGATGATTTTTTTTCTACTTACTGAATATATCCGAGAGTGTGACTTTATATACAATTTTTCATTGCTTCGGAGAGTATCATTAGATAATACCTCGCAATTATAAATTATAATTTTTATTCCTTAAATTACTGTTTTCAATAACAATAAAAACTCATCGTTTTTTAATAAATAGTTTACGGATGGTGATTTTAATTTAGATTCATGGAAACTTGCATTTAGGAATTCGGTAAAAAGGTCGAAAGATTTGTTAATTTGCAAAAGTTTTATAATTATGTGGTACTTTATGCCCACTAACGTAGAATTAAAATATCATTTGCATTTTAGTTTGTTTGGGTCTCTCTCTAAATGTTATATTGTACTTAATGCATTCGTAATGCTATACAGGATGCTTCAGATGTGTAGTCATTTGACATCCGTATATCTTTATCTAATATAGGTAATGCTAACTTCACTTCAGGTTGATTTGTAAACGAATAATCGTTCAAAATGAATTAATTCAATATTGTAATATTTTAAAACAAAAAGTTGTTAACAAAATTACAGACACGTCTGACAAAATAAGTACAAATTCTGTCGCCCTAGCAAGAAAGGTCCTATCTGAATATTTGTTGTTTTTAACTACTTTTTGCAGACATATTTGTTATCTTCTAAACCTCTTTTGTAAAACTCTTTTACGTTTTAGTACCATTACGAATCAAATAGGACATTCCGTTTTGGTATCAAAAAAGACAAAATGTAGGCAAATGCAAAGATATTAAAAAAACTGCTAATTTTGCAGATATGACCTTTCTTGTTAGGACGGCATTACAGATCTATAAATATTTTGTAATCTAGGTATCTACATTGAAGATTTTTGTTGCTGCTATTAGATAACTATGAAGAGTTAATTTTATTGATTATAAATCAAACAATCTCTCTTTCTGTAATAGTTTAGAGGTAGATATAAAATTAAAAACATATGTAATAAATGTTTAATAGGTTTAGAACTTGTTACACATGAACAGGAATTGAGCCAAATTAACTTTTCATAACTTCCAATTTATGATAAAGACAAACGGTAAGAGAAAAAGAACAATATATCGCAGAAACTGGACTTTTGTAACTTTGCTTTTCAAAAATTCATTAATTTCAATATCCAGATGCTTTAAAAAGTAAACTTCATCTCATTAAATTACCTACATTTAAATTTAATACGTAAAGTAGTAGTCCCTGATTTTTAAGAACTGTACACCAATTTATGAATTGAGGTCAAAAATTATATTATGAATACACAAGTGTGTAAAAATAAATTTATTTTATTAAAATTGGGAGTTTTTCTGAGGCTGCCACCTGTCCTTTTTTGAAAAGGAGAGTCCTCTTTTGAAGCAAAATATCCTTGTGATTTTTTAAAGCTTAAAATGTCCTTTCTTACGGCAAATGTCTTTTTTACAGCACATATCTTTGGAAGTAACGTGGTTTGTACAAAAATATACAAGCTTAGGAACTGTAAAAAAAAGTTCAGTAGAAGGATGAAGATTTTTTATTTTTTATATACCGGAGCTCTCAGCTTCGTAGTCCTTTATTCACTTTTCAAAAAGGTGGCAACCTTATGCTTTTCGCTTTAGAAAGTCACTATCATAGTTATCATGAATGGTGTTACAAATTTACAATAAATTACCTAAATTACATCTAAAAGATACTATCACGGGAGCTTTAAATAAAATATACATTTAGAAATATCTAACGCTAGGAAAACATAGTTAAAGTAAACTAATTTTGACTAAAAATCTGGATAAGATAAGCCATTATAGATATAGTAAGTGTTCTTCATTGAAACGAATTTATTGATATTCACCAATAATGCCTGACAAATTAAGAAAATGACAAGTGACAATTGAGTCAATATGACAGGCACAATAGTCAACTAAATAGAACATAAAGATACTCAGAAATAAATACCTATCACATTCGTAAATGTTTTGGGATTGACGTGTTCTAGGGTTCTAGGGTTATGATTCATACATAACAAGGAACACAAGACATAATTGGTTTAGGGAACAATAATTGAACAACTCAAATTTTTGAAAAGGGAAAGAGAAGACCGGAGAGGAACTGAGATTAATATGCTTAAACCATAACCCATAAATGGCGTCTAATGTAAAAGAAAGAAAAGAAGAAAGTTTTTGAAAAAAATTAAGGTTGTAATAAAGACAAATTACTGTCTAGATTAATACTATAGTACTAGGTAGCAATAAAGTTAAAAAAAGACACCTACATTTTCCTTTTACAACACAAGCTGTGTGCAGGAGAGACATTTAGCAATCGGGATCCCACTTTGATTATGATAAGAAATACAGACCTGTTGGGCTTTGCAGAATACTCAAGCCTAACTAATCTTTAATTCTCAAAGGTTTTTTTTAAACATATATTTTGTAAAAACTTAATTTTTAAATTTGAATTTGCCGCCCGGAAATATCCTTGACACTTGGCGTGACATCTGACAATTGATAGTTCTCACGGAACGTGGTTTCCGGAAAGGGAGATGACAAGATGGTGGAAGAGAAGCGAGTTGTCTTATGTAGAATAAATGTAGTTTGTTAAAGAAAAAAACCGTATTATTTTTAATTAAAAGCCTTTTTTAAAATAACATTTTCCAATTTTGATTAATTATTTTACAAACGATTCCGTATCACCAGGGAAACGTCTAGTCTCCCTTCGCCATGGGCATCTAATTAAAAGTTTTAAAAATCACTCTTGTAACCATTAGATTGGATTAAAAAGTGTTGGACAATATTTGTCGTCCACCGTGAGCTTTTCAAATCTTTATTATAGAACACTGTGGCGTCTAGCTAAACTTAGTAGCTTTGAAAGTACTTCCCACATGTGATTACATGATTCTGGTTTTCGTCACCTAGTTTTAGAAACCTCAATTTAGCCCAGGCCGTCACATTTGGTACAAGATGCGAATTGATGTTTCTTTTCTACAGGAACTGCAAAATTTTGCTTCTTTTGCTAGATCCTAATGAATTGTCTGTTTTGATCCAGTGGATCTTTCGTAAACTTGGCAGATGGATTCTTAACGAACCATTCATGAGATTCTTTTTGGATCCATTGTCTGATATATGCCTTAGCAACTCCATAGAAGAATTTGAGTCTCATGACCCTATCTGAGTCTTTTTGGGTTAGTTCGTTTGCTTTTGATTGCTCTGATATCTTTCGATGCCTGGTACCCATGCTAAGAGTTTACTTTGTTTTGACTACTTAGTTCTGTCAGGTCTTCTAGGTATTCTTTTACTAGTTGTGATTTGATTTCTGGCGACAAAATTGTATTATAACCATAGTATCCATATTGAATATTGTTTACCTTTCCAGGTTATCGTAGATAAGGATTGCCTCTATGATTAGTCCAATATATTCATTTTGGATATCTCCAATAACTTTTATTAAATACCCTAAATCTATTTTTAATGTGTCCTGGTTTTTATTATGCTATTAGATAAACCCTTTACTATAAAGATTAATCGTTTATCAGATAATGTTAGTTTTGTCATTACATACAACCTGATCCTACAATTCTGTCGACTTTCCCTGCTGAAATAATGCTATTAATGCAGTAGATAATGGGGGTTATGATTGACAAGCTGTGTTATTTTTAACAGGTCTGTTATTTTATAAACACACAGAAATTACAACCTGTTCACAAATAACGTGTCTGTTAAAAATAACATTACTTGTCCATCAAAACCCCTAATATATGAGACTGAGTAAATGCCTGATCTGGCTTGTAATGAAATAATTAAGGAAAATTCATATGAGCAGAGATTATTGAATTATCTAAGTAACTGAAACAGATAATCAATTACACGTCGTTGGTCAACATGAACGATGTTAGTTATTTAGATGTAATAATAATAATAATAATAATAATAATAATAATAATAATAATAATAATAATTATAATTTAAACAAATCCGGTGATGTTAAATTAAATAATTGTTAATGTTCATGATTTTCAGTTTATCACAATCTACTTAATGTTGAACCTTGAACTTTACTAATTACTATTATATAATAAAACAAAATACTATCATCCTACGTACTAATTGTTTTGCGGTAAATATTGCAAAAATAAATTAGGATTTTCCAACAATCGTGCAAATGCAACTGAAACATAATGGGAAAAATTTTTAGATTATAAAATTTCCCTATATACCTGCTGGCAATTAGATCTCAGAAATAAGAATATTGAAAAAACGAAGAAGACGCAAAAAATGTTGAGATTCTTGATCCCGTTTATACAGTAAGAACCATAATTAATGGGATTCAGAGTACCTCAAAGATAACAGGAGATGTAACTACAAAAAACATATCATGCTATTGTAAATTAGACATATTCTAAGGCAGTATTTCTCAAAGCTCTGGAGCTCCGTAAAGTCTCCGTGGGGGCTCTGCGAAAGTAATAGTCATAAAAAAATACTGGAGGAGTATTATGAGAAAGTTCGCCACAAAAAGGAGGACACCTGGTTTAAGGAGGACCTTTTAAGAAAGGATCTGATGTTGCTTGAGTACCACTTTTTTAGAAATACTCCGGGTTTTCAAAGTAATAAAACCTATCTAAACAAAAAAAAAACTATTTTGAACTCAAAAGATTCCGTCGCCAAAAAAGTTTGAGAAAAACTGTTTTCTAAGGTCATATTGACCAACAACAGTTGTTCCATTCTCGCTGTGACAATCATATGATCTGCCAATCCATTATTCAAGCAATAATAATATTCTGCCAAAGCCAATCTCATTATTTTCCATCAATTCCTCGTATTTATATAACAGTTATACATACCTTGGTACTGATGTAATCTGGTTCTAATTCTGTGAGCTTCTCGTAAGTCTGATACGCTGATTCTTTTTTAATGACTGGATATTTCAGTTCTGTTAAATTCGAATCTGGAAATGCAACCCTATTTATTACTGTATAATCATCGTTATCTTTATTCTTTTTGAAATAGTAACTTCTTCTTCTTTCCAATTTTCTTGCTAGGTTTGTCATATTTTCCGCAAAAGATATATTTATAAAGATAACAATGATGGTAAAGATGACGGTTTTCATCTTGAAAATCGTAATATATGTTTCAATTACGTTTACGTTATGAAAGGAACATGAACTATTTCTTTTAAGTAGATAATTATGTTTCTTAATTTACACTGAAAGAAGTGATAGTGATAATTTTTATTTCTTATTAAAATAACTATCGTAATATTAGATTTTATTATAAATGTAATACGTACATTTATAATAAAATTTAAACTATTCTTTAACAGTAATTTTCTAAGCAAATGCATTTTGTAAATTATACTTTTCATTCATAAAATATCTGTAAATTGTTTCTCTTTTAGTGTAGCTCCACATTTGTTAGAATTAAGACTTAATAAACATTGTAGTAAAATAAATGATCACTATAAAGTAGAGTAGGTAGCAAATAAGACCAATTGGGAATATGATATACAAAGGCTGTAAAATTTTCTATTTTGCAATGATTTAATATTTCATATCTATACAGTACGTTGTTTAAAATCCTGAATATTGGAGAAAGGTCTAGAAAAACAATATAATTAAATAAAACTATACTTGCTATCACACTACAAAAATATAAAATGTTGAAGACGATTTAGAAATTATTAAATTCCGAAAAATATTTAAATAGATAAATTTAAATTGAACAAATTAAATAAACATAATACAGTCTGTATATTTACTTGCTATAAATAAAAAGTATAATTAGTGTAAAGAAAATTTGATATAACTAATTAAATTTTAAAGGTGGGAAAAATAAAGAAAAAAGGTCCTTTATATCTCACAAAAAATAGGGATAAAACTACTGGATTACAATCATGAAAGAATAGAAACTACCCCAAGCTTGAATTAAATTTTATTCATTTTTTTTTCACTCTAAATCGAGTTGGTTTAGTTAGGTTAGGTTAGTATTTTTTTAAAATTATCTATTTTTATGTACACCCCACTTACTTCCAGAATTTGAATTGATTAGGTTTGTTAATTTCATTACCTACTTTATGTAATGGAAAATAATTGCTTACAATTATTACCTAAGGTAATGAAATAGCAATAAACTTAAATTTTTTAAGAATTTCGATATTAAGTGCTTTTTTATATATAGCTTAGATAATTAAAAATTGACGTACCTATCAAATAAAATAAAATAAGTCTGTACATGTAGAGTTTACCAACAAATATATTATTCATATCGTATCGCATATGCTGATTCAACAAATTATTTGAGAAAATAAATGTTTAAAAAAAGAAATATGCAATAAATTGCTACTATACTATTATAGAAGTTTTTAAATTCACCTGGATCAAATAGGATGTTTGTCAACCCCAAAGAAAATTTTCTGACTATTTAATATGAATCAGATATCTCCGCTCCTAGATGAATAAACATATATTTTTTTTCTAGCATAAGTTAGGTACAAATACCACTTTAATCTGTCCTAAAGAAAACGACTTGCAAGATGAATGTACGATAGAATTTTTTTTCGTGGATCTTTTGCTAGGTCAAATCAATTAATATAATTTTTAAATTACATCTTTCGTCATTTAAGACCAATTTTTAAGGTATATACGAAATTTCATAATATTTTGGGTCCTCTTAATTTTTGAGATTTAACAAAGGGAGGGGTATGGATTTTTTGTCAATTTGGAGTTTTTTAATTTTAACATCTGATTGAGACTATTCGAACTTTATTACCGGTCGTTTTGTTTGTTTATTTTTGTTCAGGGTTTATAATAATTATTACCGCAAGCAAGGGTGGGCATTAATAAATTGTTTATTATACAAGGTAAAAAGTATTAGATTGTATCTCGAGATCTTTGACCTCTGGAATTTTTCATCTCCATCTGTAGCTATTCGAGTACTTTTGACGCCGCTTCGAGAATTTGTGGAGCAAACCATATTAAATAATCTGATGCTCGAGAGTCGTTCGTCATAAGCACCATTAGTAAGGAAACGTTTTCTCTGTGGCGGGAAAACCCTCTACAGTTTTTGAATTTAGGAAATAAAATGTTTCATTTTATTGCGGACACTTGTTATAACACAAATATGTATTGCTAGAATAAAACATGGATGTGAGTTAAATTAAAGCTTATATGTTTAAAATTAGCAATTTTATGTTGCAATTACTATTTTTGGCCCATGTTTAATGTATACCATGGACTCTTGAAACCGTTTTTGACCAATGTGTACTATTCAACTCCTAATCTAAACTCCAAAAAAATATTCTTTACTTGAATTATTAAAGAATTCTGAGATTAACTCTGGTTTAGAATCAAGCCACAGAATTATTATTTTTCCAAACTCTTTCTGTCAAATTACCTAAAAGACACATTCTTAATAATTATCAATATAAATATTTCTTTTAACAGAACTAGAACTATAAGTACAATAACAGTAAATTTTAATACTTTTGTAAAAGTCAGCGATAATTATTTTTTATCTATCGTTAATAATAACTCATTATGCCAATTTACTTATATTTTGAAATGGTATATGGTTAACTAATGGGTTTCTTTTCAGTTTACAGGTAGTACGTAAACATCAAAAGTACCATTTGAGTATTTTTTTGACTTGAATTTTTAATATATAACAGTTGGTTATTATTTCCAACAATATAGTAAACTCAGCGTATGTATTTATTAATTTATTTATTAATTTCATCAAAATATTGAGCTGTTTTAAAAAAATATCTTAGTCTTAGGTTTATGTTTAATAGAAATGGGACACTGGATCACTAAGTTATAGTTTAATTTTATAGTTTGTATGAACCACATCTTTTGCTAAAGTTTCCTGACTTTTCGACAAGATTTGTTGAAGTTGGTTTTAGCTGGATGAATCAAAATTCTGTTTTATCTCACTTATAGCTTAAAATAGGTACTTTCATTCTTCTATTACTTAAATTTTTTTAAACGTTCTCTTTTGGGTGCTTTAAAAGTGTTTTTTGTCATAGAATCAGATCAGATCCCATAGGTATTTATTTATAATACATAGATACATATTAAATGCTCATTTGCTATATTTTTGAGTAGGTCAGATATTTTTTATTATAAAATAAATTCCATTTTTAAATATTACAATATTTTACATTTAAATTGTCATATTTTGAATACTGCACCGCTGGTCATTAAGAAATGAACCAGGTTTAAATTGACATTTTCCATTAACAATGTCACTTTGAACTTCGCTTAGTTCTTAACGACTAGTGGTGCAAATGGGCCTTAATAGACCTAGTGACTTTATTTTTTTATTAATGATATATAATTTTGTCAATTTAGTAATGCTTGTTTATAAATGTCGATTTTTGTTTATAATTGATGTAATGAAATTTTCTTTATTGTCTTCCTTCTCACTTCACATAAAGACCAATTTTCATCCAATTTTACTACAGCCCTCGATTTTTGAGCTTCATATCAGTTAGATGCTTCGGAATTTTTTTGAAATTTATTTGACATTAACTTTTGAGAGCTGTCAAATTTGAATGCGACAAACGACTATGATGCAAAGTCTAAATAATTACATAATTAGGCAATAATATATATTTTAAAAAATGTTTTTCTATTTTTTTTTTTTTCAATTAAATTGCAGTTTTGCTGGTCAGTGTATTGCTAGTACGAAATTATGTATTTTTTATTATGTGTCTTAATAATTATGATTCCAATTTGGTTGTTATATTTATCAATACGATGTCGGTTATACATTATAAACATTCCAATGCCACGTTGCAATTTACTGTTTGGACACGCATTCGAATTTTTGGATAAAAAACGTAAGTATGATCATTAATGGGATAATATTACATTTATTTATTTTTGCCTCTGTTGCATAGAATTCTTTATATTGTACAAAAGATTCCTTTCAACATGGAAGCCCTTTCAATATGGAAACCTTCTTTGGTTTCTTAATTTCCAATTAATAAAATAAAAATATTAATTTCGGGTGAGTTCAATGATCTAAAATGCTGTACCTACAGAATTATTTACAAAAATAAAATATTTCTTGTATTCTCCCTCTGCTTGTTTAACACTGCTTGTTCACCTCTGCCTGTCTCTATCGTCTAGGCCTGTTGCTGCCACCGTCTCTACCTGTGAATTTATCTTCGTTATATACAGGGTAGACCAATCTTGTGGAAAAGTTCGATATCTTCCTTGTTGAAAGAACATTTTAAAATTATTGGGAGGTATAATACAGGGTGTTGCATAGCTCGTGTACGAGCCAAACGTGTTTTTTTTAATGATAACCCCAGTATATTATTTTAGATTCTGTTTACTCATCTTTTTTCCATTCTTCTAATACATGGTTTGTCTATGTTATATAGGGTACTTTTCAAGGAATTGACATTTTAAAATGTTAACCTCAAACATGTCCATAATTTTCTTAATACACTTTTTTAATATCTCTCCCAACAAGGAAGATATCGAACTTTTTCACAAGATTGGTCCACCCTGTATATTTTTAAATAATATTTCTGTTTATTGCCATGTTTTAATTATTTTTCAAAATTAAATTATATTTTGAATTATCTGTTTGCCACTTAAATCATTAACTTTAGGTATAAGGAATGCCTAACTCATTTTTTAAAAATTAATGTGACTCAAATTTCTTGTTCACATGTTATATTTACATATATTACATTACATATTTACACCCACAATTATTGTAGACAAGCATTGAAGATGGCGTTATGCCGAAAGGGGTTTGCATTTTAAATAAAATAATGCAAGATTTTTTTTCTAACTGTACTCATAACATTTATACGTACAGCTTTTTTATGGGGGGGTTCCCCTTAAAGTGATGCCTTTGGTATCAAATTTAAATCATATACAAGTATATTGCATCTTCTGTGATTTCCTCACATATTTTTCATATAATTAGTGTCACTTCATCATCTCCATAGATCCCGAGTATTTTTTATTCAAGCTGCTACAACGAGGTTCCACAAGAGGTAATATAGAATCCTTACCGATTTGATTAGTTGGTGCATATTTGATTATTTTATTATATTTTATTTTTTAGGCATTTTATCTAAATTCACTGAATATTGTATTGAATACGGAGGTATATATAAAATCTACATTCCTCCAAAATTACCAACGTTAATTATATCTGATCCTGAGTTGATTCAACAACTAACTACAACTCATTTAGAAAAGTCCCTCGATTATAAGGTTTTTAAAAGATGGATAGGTCAAGGTCTTTTAACTGCTGACGGTAAGATACAATGTAATATTATATTTTAACCTATTGACCTACAAGCTGTTTTTGCACGTTTTTTGATAAAACAAACTCTATCTTCATATATTTCTTCTGATTCCCAAAGTTTTAATAAAGTTTGATGTATTAAGACTTAGATTACAAACATTTTTAAATGATATGTTTAAGAAATTTAAACAACCTGTAAAAATCTAACCAAAAACAGTAAAGAAAACTGTTTTTCCTAGCTGAATTTTTCCTTCTAGAAGTAAATCGTAAAAGACGTTGGCTCCTAGCAATAAATCTACTATCTTTGATACAGATTATCAGCCAGATTGATACTCCTTAATTAATACCAGTTATTGGACTTTAATTTCTAGTTTTAGATAAATTCAAAATGTGACACAATTCTTCAGTTATAAAATTTGACTGACTCCCTGTATCTAATAAAGCTGTAGCCTTCATCAACTCATCCAAACTGTTACTTAATAACATTGTCGCTGTAGATAAGAAAATATATTTTGACAGCTTCGTCAAATAGGAGAATGAGAGATTTTTTATTGTTCAATTTTGTTGTTTGCACATTGGAAACCAGCAAAGTGGTTGGTACCAGAGCGAAGATTTGTTCTCTAAACCCAAATTGGAATTGCGGAATTCGTTCGTTTACTAATGCTAATGACATTGTTAATGTAAAAATGTCATTTTAATATTCGCTTAGTAATTTAAACTTTAAACACAATGGTGAATCGGTCAAAACTCAATTTAAGTTAATACAAACTGTGAATAATACTATTAGTTATATTATCAAAGAAACAACAGTTCTATATTGGCAATTTTTAAATTCTAATTTCTTCGTTTCAGTAAAGGTTTGGAAAACCAACAGAAGGCTCATAACACCTTGTTTTGGTCGCCTTAGTACATTGATAAGTTTCGTTGATATATTTGAAAAGAATGGAAACCAATTGGTTAATTATTTAGAAAATCAAATGGATAACAATAGCATCGATGTCTTTCCCCTAATTAAAATAATTACATTGAATTCAATGTGTGGTAAGATTACTTTTTACTATTTAAAAACTAGACAACACAGTCACATTTCAACTGTAGCACCGTGCAATAAATTTAAAAAGAGATCACATCATTTTTAATTTAATTAGGAAGGTTTCCCATTAAGAAAAACCTTTTCCAACTCTAGTCAGTAGAAAGCATTATACATATAAGTATACTGATAAACGATCCATAATTTTATATGCATATTATTATTAAAATGATTTTTGTCTAATGTAGAAACTTCAATGGGCGTCTCAAAACTCAATCCTGACTATATGCAGACGTACTGCCAATCTATGCAAAAACTCCTAAAAATATACATCAACCGTCCGTCTTCAATAAAAAGATATGATTTTTTGTACCGACTTAGTAACGATTACATAGAGGAAGAAAAAGCATTAAAAGTAGTTTCAGAAATATTTAAAATGATCATGAAGGAAAAAATTAATAATAATGCTGAGAAAAACGTTGATGAAGAGAACAGTAATTTGAGTTTTCTGGATATGTTACTGGAAATTCAAACCAAATACGGTTTATCTAAAGAGTACATAAGAGATGAAGTAAATACATTTTTATTGGGAGTAAGTTTTTTATATTAAAACATATTTTATTGTATATGTGTATAGATTATAATATTTACATATTAAACTCATTTAAAATCTACACTATTGAAGATTTATATAGAAACTACTTTTTTAAGTGGCAAACATTTTACTTTTTAATATTTGACCACTTTTATATCCAATATTTATGATGACCAATCTTTTTCCACAAATTTTGACTCTATCAATCACAGCTGCTCTATGAATAAACTAATTGTTACTATTTTATATTTGACTGATACCTTTACTCAACCCCTTGTCTGAAAATAAAGGCAAATTTCTAAACATTTTTCAAGAAAATTTCGTAGGTTAATAACTTTTGTTAGGGCAGTTAATCTTTATCAGTATAGAAATGTTGAAGCATTGTCACATCTATTAAAATAAAACGCAAGACCGAGACAGGCGACTGCGGCAGGTGACCGAGGCAGGTTACCAAGGCAGGTTACCAAGACAGCACGTTATTGGTATGAAAGGAATTAGATTCTCCATGGAAGTGAGTACTGTTTGTAACTCGATACTTTGTCGTTTTTTTCTTATTTCAGGTCTAATTTGAATATTTTGTAATATTTTTATTATTTTATTAATATTTTTTATCGATAAATTAATTCTTTTGAATTATTAAATCTAAATCGTCTAAATTAACATCTAAAGATGCCATTTCTACACCAAATCTATGTTGAAGTTCATTGCAATAAGGTTATTTATACCTAAAACTCTGTCGAAAAATTCGTGAAACTCATAAAGAATAAAAGTCAACACATGATTATTATAAAATTCCTTAAAAAGCTGGTATTTCTGCTTGATATTTGATATATTTAGTACTCAAAGAGGTTAAAAGTAATACATTTGTTTGATACATACTACTGATATAAAATTGTTCTGCTATTGTAGGCATAAGATGAATTTTGTGTTACCGGTATCAACTAATATTTTTAGGGGTGGTTTCGAATTTTAATATATGGCAGAGAGGGTTATATTTAATCCTTTTAACTCTGGCTTTTCTTCAGAATTAAAACAATTAACTTTTTTTTGAATTGATGATTATAATTTTGGTTGAAGTGTAAATATGAATTATCATATTGATCTGTTTTCGTTTGATTTTCACGTCAATCGTTCACAAATAGTTCTTCAGATATAAAATTAGGCTTCTAATTATTATTTTGAAAAACATTATTAGACCTATTATTTGAATTAAAAGTTTTTTTACTTATACATTGATGGGATTCTCGAAGTGCTTGACATTGGTTGGGATTTTGGAAAATTATTCTGTGCAATTAAATTAGGTTAAAACACATTTGTTGGGGCTCCAAAAAGGTGTTGGATATTACGATGCTAAGGGCGTCGTTGAACATTTATTGGTTGACGTGACCATATAGGTTTTTGAGAATTTGGTTGTCGAGATTGATTTGAAAAATATTGTTGATTTGTTTTATTAAAATTTGGGTTAAATTGTGGATTTGGTTGATAATAATTATTAATTTTATTACTTGGATTAGTGATATATTATAACTGAAAGTTACTTTTTGGTATATTCAATTTTGAGTTGCTAGGATGCGTATAAAGATTCAAAATTTTCTTATTCGTTAACAGAAGCTATAAGCTTCGAATTTTTGTGAAAAAATTACAACTGAATGCCAAATGTGAAACGTTTCGACAGTCACGGTCACCTGCTTCGGTCTCCTGTTTCGATCTTGCATGCCCAAACAGTACCATTTTTTAGAGATTGTGTAGAAAATAGTATTTGTTCATTTATTTCTTTTTTCAATAGAAAGTGGACAGCAGCTGCTTTGTATAATGATATAAAGAATATTTTTTAAGGGTCATGACACAACTGCCACTGCCATAGCCTTTACTCTTTACTCTCTTGCAATGAATCAACATATACAGGTAAGACGAAAATTATTAAAAACTTATTTCCTTATTTTTACTATATAAATTTTGTATGACTGCATGTCTCATATAATACATAGTTATTCAATTATTAGGTAAGTAAATAAATAAATATTTCAGGATAAAGTTTTGGCTGAACAGATCGAATTATTTGGCAGTTTTAAGGAAGATTTAGAAGTGAGTCATACGGAATTGAAACAGATGAAATACTTGGATCTAGTAATAAAAGAATCTCTAAGAATGTTTCCACCTATTCCTGCTATAGGACGGAGAATTACTAGCGATTTTAAATTGGGTGAGTAAAATTTCAGAGGAAGACACATAGTGCAGTAATTTTGATAAAGTAATATGAAGAGCTCCATCTATAATATCTAATATCTACGTTAAAAATACAAGGTACAATATTATTATGGAAGAAGAATCCACAGTAGTGTTTGCAAACAATATTTTTATAAACAAAACTCATCAGAAGGGACTGAATAACCCATTAATATAATTTTATCCATTTTAGGAGATTATGACCTACCAAAAAACATGAATGTCACCGTTTTTATTTATGGCTGCCATCACAATCCAAAATACTTTCCAGAGCCGGATAAGTTCATTCCAGAAAGGTTTTTGGACTCTACACCTAGTTCGTTTATACCTTTCAGTTTTGGTCCAAGGAATTGTATAGGTAACATAATTTTGTAAAATTTGTTTCAAATATCGAGTGATACGTAATGATACTGGTAAATACGTAACGTACCATATAAGATGCAACAATATTTCAAAACATAATTTCATTTAATCAATATAATCTTAGTACAACTTTCGTCAAGTAATTTTTTGGTAAACTCTGTAAAAAACTCTTTATTCTGGTCTGAAAACCATTTCTCAATAATGAATTCATAATTTTTCGGAAATCTTGTACTTTTCAAGTGATTTTTAAGTTTTTTGAATATACAGGGTGAGGCACCGAAAACGAAACAGATCGCATATCTTGAAGATACATTTTTTTTTTGAGAAAATGCAAAAAGAGGTCGATATTTATTTCAAAGGGGACATCTTTCGATCATATCCTCAACTATCCTACATCCCTCCCCATCCCTCTGTCACTATTACCAATGAAACACATTAATTTTCAGTTCTGATTTGCATTATTTTGGGGTTATCTACAAAATTATTAGTAATTGACCATGTGGGTTATTTGGGTATTGTTGAATACATTAGATTTCCATTCGAAATTATAAGAATAAACTCCCGTCACTTGTCACATTCTAAATAGGTAGAAGTCAAAAAGTGCAACCCGGGCTCAGCTCAGCTCAGTTCAGGTGCAGCACACCATCTTTTGAGCTGAGTTGAGTAATATCAAAACATCGATTTTGTCAATTCACTAGTATCGAAAACAATAGTCCATTTCAGATTGATCGTACTAAAATATCTGTTTTTTTTTTACAGGAAACAAATTTGCTATGTTACAAATGAAAAGCTGTATCTCAAAAGTAGTGAGATATTTTAAATTATTGCCTCCGAAGCCCGATTATAATATGAATCTTATAATTACGGCTACGCTCTTTTCCGAAAATGGTATCCGATTATCATTGGAAAAACGAGTTTCATCAGAATAAATTTTAATACAGAATCTGTACCTACTTAAGTGAAATTAAATAATATAATAACTTTTCATTAATTGTTTGTAGGGTTTATATTTTTACTAAAACCTCATGGCAATGTAAATAAACACATAATTAAAGGTTAAAAAGAACAAAAATTGTATTTATCTTATCTATTTTACTTTAATAGATGTCAGAAAGTGTAACAATTATTATCTATTGTTAATTAATACATTACTACTCATAATTGTTTCAATAATAACGAGAAAAATCATAATTGGAGTTGGCTGTGAAATTTAAATGTCCATAGAATGACATTTTAGCCTAGAAATTATTTCTTCCTATACATAAAATCTTATTGATTGGTGTTTAAATAAAGGTTATAAAAAATAAAACGAAAATAGTAATGAAACTTGTTCACTATTGCATTTGAAATACAGATAAACTAAATATATTACAAAACACTCAAAAAAACAACTTAAAAACTATTATAAATTAGTAAAATCACTGTCATTAGCTAAATAATATTCATCGGAGTTACGCTCTAAGTTCACGTTTCCTAGGTTCTAGCTTGATCTTGAAACCTTCTGCCCTCTTGAGTATAATATCAGCCTGGAGTTGGAAATCTTTCTCTTGGATATCTGATTGGACCCTGTAGTTTCTCAAGATTGTTGAAAGAAGGATTTTCAATTTCAACATGGCGTATTTACGACCTAAATGAGAAAAAAATATGAATTTAAGAATGCAAAGGTGCTGAAATTTGTAGTAAATACAAATAGTCAGTTCGTTTCTCGTATAAACTCACCAACACAACTTCTTGGTCCAGCTGAGAATGGAATGAAAGAATAATAATGCCTGTTGGCACTGCGTTCAGGTAAGAAATTGTCGGGATCGAATTTGTCAGGGTTGGGGTAAGTGTTAGGGTCACGGTGGATCTTGAAAGTACCGATAATGATGGTGGCACCAGCTGGTAATGTATAATCTCCAGAAGCTAAAAAATATTTAATAATAAATACATCGAATTTCTAATTAAAACTTTTATTATTTCTTTACCTAATTTTACGTCCTGTTTGAGTTGTCTAGCAATTATGGGCACTGGTGGGTACATACGCAATGTCTCCATCAAGCATCTTTCCAAATATTTCATTTCCAAAGTATCAGCAAAGGTAGCTGGTCTGTCAGAATCGCCGAAGATTTCGTCAATTTCTTGAATAACCCTATCTTGGATTTCTTGATGGATTCCCATCATGGACAGGAAGAAACTACTTCCAGCAGCTGTGGTATCGTGACCTTCGAACATGATAGTGTCTACTTGTTCCTTGATTTCTTCGTCGTTGATTACGACACCGTTTTGTGAAGCTTCAATAAGCAAGTCCAAGAATGCCATTCTCTTCTTCTCGCCTACATCATCTTCTACGTCCAAATCGTCTTTAAGACCAACGGATTGTCCGTAGGACAGACCTTCAACGACGGTCTTGGAGGCGACGTTCTTTTCGTATTTCTGGGTCTTGGCGTCTTCTGGTACTTCAGCAGTTGATCCTCGGATTCCTTTAGAAAAATTATTATGTAGAAAATATATAGATCTTCTTTAAAAATTATGTTAACACTGGAAGCTTGGATGGGAACAAGAATATAAGTCATATAAGTCATCAAAATCATCATGAATATTCACTTTTTCAAGACTACTTAGATGACTATATTGCAAGCTGGCGAAGTACTGATACTGGTATAGTAGATGATTTGGATAAAATTATGTTGGAAAGTTATTCTCTTACCTTTTTCGAAATCAGCCCTCTTCTTCTTAATAACTTTCCTGGTCAAGCTGTGAATGGTGTTAATCAACCCCTTTTGGTTGGTAGCGTGTTTGGTAAAGTTAAAAATGATGTCAGGTCTGAGCCAGATCTTCGTGTGACGGATATGTAAGATATCGCACATCTTCATGACAGCTAAAGCGTAGTCATAACCGCTTTGATCTTGCGTTTTCTTGCTGACACCCATAGCGGTTTCCAAAAGAATTTCAACAGTAGCTTCTGACATGTAATCGTGGCAATCGAATTCTTTGCCTGCTTCTTTTTTGAGTTTTTGTACGACTTCTCTGGAGTTAGCGTTGAACAAGTCGATGAAGGATTTGAGTACGTTCAAGTGGAAAGTGGGGGCTATGAGTTTTCTGTGCGCCCTCCATTTTTGACCGGTGGAGATGAGGAGACCATCTCCCAACCAAGGTTTGAAGAATCTGTACTCGCTAGCTTTGTCGATGTGCACGTGACTACTCAGAATGATTTCTACATCCCTTGGGTCGACCAAGAAGATAAGTAGTTTGGGTCCGACCCAAAATTTGACGGTGGATCCGAACTCGAAAGATCTTGCGTATACTTTCTTGAAAATTTCTAAAAAAAAAAATAGTTTTTTGGTCAGTTTGATTTTAATAGATCAAAACAATCTAGAACAAAATTATCCTTTATCTTATAAACATCATCTTTTATACAGCAGACTCTGTAACATACTCAGAAGTAGCCTGGCCTTTGGATACATACCAAAAGCTTGGAGAATGATTAGGGTAATTTTTATGCCAAAACCTGGGAAAATAGGACAGGAGACGGCAAAATCCCTGAGACCAATGTCTTATGTCCTTTGTACTTAAGACTGATAGATAGGCATATTAGAGACGGGATATTGGTTTAGAGGCCAATATACCAATATAGGCTTGCAGAGAAATCAACTGAAACAGCTCTCCATCAATTAATAAAATGGGTGGAGAACACACTGGAATACAAGAAGGTAATGCTGGGAGCATTCTTGGATATCGAGGGTGCATTTGACAATACCTCCGTTGAATCGATCATTAGATCTCTCAAACACAGAGGAATCGAGGACACGTGCTTGTCCTGGATCGACTCTATGTAAAGGGAGATAACTATACACATAACCCTTATGGGAGTGATAATAGCGACACGGGTAGCAAGAGGATGTCCGCAGGGTGGAGTGCTGTCTCCACTCCTGTGAAACCTTGTAGTGGACGGGCTGCTTAGGGCTCTTAAAGATAAGGGACATAGAACCCTGGGATATGCCGATGATCTAGTGATCATGGCACAGGGAAAGTACAACACTATAGTAAGATATCGAATGCAAGAGGCTCTAAATATAGTAACAAAATGGACAGAGGTGAAAGGACTAAATATTAGCCCAAATAATTGCATTCACCCGCAGGAGGAAATTGGAGGGACTAGGACCTCTAAACCTAAGAGGTGCTAGCATCCAGCTTAAGGAGGAGGTAAAATATCTCAGGGTTATGTTTGACTCGAGACTTACCTGGAACCAGCATCTAGAAAAAACCACAAGGAAAGCGGAAACCTCGTTAATGATGGCAAGGCGATCCATTGGAAAAAATGGGGGTTAAAACCAAACATGGTATAATAATATACGCAGCTTTGGTGTGGTGGCCAAAGACACAGCAAAGAAAAGCAATAACGAGGCTAAGCAAGGTACAAAGACTTGCCTGCCTCGGAATAATGGGGGCAATGAAAACAACCGCCACAGCTACAATGGAAGCACTTATAGGACTCCCACCTCTTCACTATGTGAGGCAAGATTAGGAAATACACTGGGAAATCTTGACATTAGGCCAGGTCACATGAGTATCTCAAGGTTAGTGACAGGAGACGTGCTAGACATGAGATCATCAGACTACATAATTCTCAAAATAGAATAATTAATTATTGGTGCTACTAGGCCAAGATACTTCTGGGTGAATATTTTGTCTTTCGTAAAAGAAGAAGGAATTTTGATAAATATTTTTTAAGTTATGATATAAAACTATATAAGATTGATTATCTATAGATATGAAATATGTAGGTAGGTCTTGATTTAATAATTTAAAATTTTGACACAAGAAATCAAAGAAACAAAACAATTTAACATGTTTGTCACTCTATACGTTAGGGGTTATATTTTTAATTTCACGTAAAGTTTATATATGCATCCCAACTAATTAATAATTATATTCCCATGAACAAATGACAATTTTTTATAGCTTGTCAGGTAAGTACTTGTTATTTTTTAATATATTTATCTTCTAAATCAGAAGTAAGGTTAACCAGCTCGTATTGAGCAATGAATACAATGTTTGTTGAATTTTATGTGCATTATAATGGATAAAAACCAGATTATGGGGTCAAGCGACATCGTTTTCCCTTAAATGGCAAAAAATAACAATCTTAGTATGACTAGTAAATTTTCTGAAGTTCAAGGCTCGTTTTCCTTACATTATAGTTTCATTTGAAAGATAATTTTTGATTATTATGTGTTTATTTTAATTATAATTTGATATTGTTCATTAGATGTAATTAAAAAGCATTTGCAGACATTTACTGCATACGAAAAACATTTTAACCTATTATTTTCTAAGAAATAAAAGCAAAAATATGTAATGGTATTTTAGGTACATTTTATTCAATTCTACCCTTTAGTGAAATTAGAAGATTCTGAATCAATATTGTTAAGTACAATTTTGGTATAAAACATTTTCTACTACCACTCACAGTTTTTGTGAAAAATCGATAAAAAAATTATAATACACAATGCCAAAGTGGCATTTGGAAAATTTGGTTTTCTAAAAACATACTTATAATCACAAGATACAATAGTTTTGTATTTAAAAGTACGTATATTTTTTTCAAGATTTTGAAATGAACTAGGAACCTGTTTGAGTCCTTAGTTGGTGATAACCTCAAAGTTATCAAAGTGGAGTAACTGTCATTAGCTTATGTATTTCGAAATCACTAAAAGGTATTGGTAAATATCGGAGATTTACTTTAAGATGTTATTTGTCGCAAAACTTATGAGTTAGAAGTTGTTAAGAAAAAAAATATGTTAAGCCAAAAGACCTTTTAGGTAATTCTACATCTAGACAGATTTATGCGTTTAACAAAAGATAAAAGGTCAGCTATGTATATAGTATTTTTATACACCTTCCTAACCAAATTATTAGCTTTTAATATACTTTTTTGACATTGGTCGTAGAAAAAACCTATATATCTTACCTGATGAGCTACCAATGAATTCCAAAGCTAAACCAATAATAGGTAATCCATCGGGTCCTGGGATCTTGTCTGCTAATTCATTCAAATGTTTACGGGAAATTTTCCAGTAAGCGTAGAATAGAATTGCAGCTGGTACTAGGAGGAAGTAAAAAACGCTGGTAGCCAAATTGGCTCCACCAGGGCTGACTAGGTCAGGACCTGCGGTTGTAGTCGACATATTTGATCTGAAAGAAAATAACAATTAGATAAATGGCGGAAATATACAGTGTATGCCAAAAAGTTTATATACACCCCACAAAAATTATCGCATCATTAATAGTTTTCAAAAATTTGGAGTTTGTTTTTGAACCGTTTGATTGATTTGGATATTCTTGCCTGTTTTTATAAACATACATTGCAAACATTTTAGTGATGCGATAATTTTTGTGGGGTGTATATTATATAAAAAAATATTCGGAAAAAAGTTGGAAAGGTAAACAAGCACCAGAAGCAGAAGTAGAAATTCCTAACAAGCGAACTGCAATGATTGTTACTTCAATGTTCGTTAATAAGTTTGCCATAAAAGACCTATGGGAACTAGACGAAGAAGAATTGTTGCAAGAAGTTATGCAGCATTTAAGGTAAACTGTTTCTAGAGAATTCCAATTGCCGTGGATTGAAGGCTATTCTAATCTTTCAACTAATTATTTCTCAGTTCTTCGTAAACTTGATTCTACTATTTGGAAGTTTAAAATTAGAAGAGTGGGATTTCTGAAAGCATCATTGAAGAAATTCTCTCTTCAGAACATAACATAGGTGGTCATTATTTATATCATGACAAGTTATAAAGAAAATTAGCACGAGTAGAGTTAGACCAGTCTTTGACGCGTCATCACATGATAAACAATCTCAATCTCTTAATAATTGTTTTGAAAAGAGCATCAATTTGATTATTGAGCAAATTCCTCTGATTTTGTTAAAATTTAGAATGAAATCACTAGGTGTTACTGCTGATATAAAAAAGGTATTCATTCTAATAGGGCTAAATCCTAGAAAAAGAGATTTTTTTAAATTTTTGTGGAGATATTAGGAATGTTTTTAGGCACTATAGAGTATTTTTTGAGGTTATGAGAAGTTATTTTCTTTTGGGTGCTGATAATCCAATAATCTAATAAGAAGAGAAGATGCTTTATCTATTTCTCCTGTTAGTAGGGAAAAGGTGAGCTTACTAAAATCACTTTCTTCTTTTTTCTTCATTAATAACAGTAGAATATTATAATTATTGATTTGTATTGAAAAAAGTTTGTTTCATGTATGGAAAAATAAGCCATGGTAACACAACAATACAATAATACAGCCAATAATAATAATTATTTTAAGCAGTATGATTTGACACATTAATTATATTCTCCTCAAAATAGAATAATAATTATTGGTGCTACCCTATTATCCATCTACCGAAAAAATATTATAATTAAATTGAAAATAAATAAAAAATTTCATTAATATTAGTTTTCATTAATTAAGTTTTTTGCAATTATGAATTCATTAAGGCATTAAAGATATCTAAAGTAAGATAGAAAATCCGAAAAAAAATTACTTAATTATTATTCCGGTTTTTAATCTAAAAAATTGCTGCCTGTGTCGAAAACATTAATAATTGGTAAAACTATTCCAAATTATTGGAAAAATTTCAATATAAGTAATTAAACTAAATTATATTATATTATATCAATTTGAAACAACATTAAGAGGAATAAAGAGAAAATACTAGAATTTGATAGAATCCAGAGTAAAAAGTTATAAAATAAGAAAAATCTACCAATTACGCAGTTGAAATAAAATTACACAATGCTATAAAGGGCCTAATGCTATAATAAGCAATGGAAAAAATTAGAAATTCAAAAATCGTATAAAGAAAACTGATATCGTGAATAAAAAAGGTGTAAAGCAATTTTTAAATATTTCAAAAAAATATTTAATGAATGCACCAAGAGTCGAAAAATTTAATAAAATTACGTACCACTGATTGTATTTAACTATTTTTCATAACGTAGATCACACCAGCACTTGACAACAACTGAAGTATATTTATTATGCTTGCTCTATTTATTTAACTATTGTTACCCTTCCATGAATTGTTAGGTTGAGGTAATGAATAGCATTTTTTTTTCTTTTGGAAAATTACATGCCATTAATTCATATTCATTTAATTCGAAAGGTTGATAGAGGTCTAACTAATCATTTATTCATGAAATATATCTTTCAAAAACATCTAATTATAACATAAATGGTAGAAATCCATTTAATGACTGAATAGTTTTTGCGTAATTACGTCAATATTTTGGTTGGCAAATTTTTGAAAATAATTTATTCTGGCAAAATCAAAATAATTATCTTCTATTGGGTCTCATTGTATTAAATGATGACTTAAATGTTTGTTAGAGATATTTGATTATTAGATTAAAAAATATAAAAAATAGTTTTTCAAAATAAATGTTTTGAATTTTTTTTCAACACAGTGATAGCTAATGTAGTAACTTTATACATGGGCAAAAATAATAGTAGTTTGTTCAACAAGAGTGGATATGATGACAATCCACTTGAGTTGTACAGTATATTTTTTCTACGACCCACTAACGAAAATTTTCAAATAAAAAATATTTTAGGTTATTAAGACAATATAACTAATTTTGAAATAATCTATGACGTTTAATATTTTTACCCATCCGATAATCGAACTCCAGTCTTCCGTTTGGAAGGCAAGAACGCTAACCACAGGACCACCTATTCTTTTATTTTTGATGCTATAAATTGACTTCATATAGTTTTATTTAAATTAACAAATTATTTATAATTATAGATGAAATAAAAACAGAAATGCTATTATTTATCGATTATACAAAAGAATAATCCATTTTAATGTATGTTTAATTTCAATAACTAAAAAATATACTGACAATTAGTTTGACAGAATTGTCACTTATTTAAAATCTTAAAAATAATAGCAGTCGGTAGATCAAAATATGGAGGGTGATTGATGGATTTCTTTTTTTTCAGTGTTCTCACTACCTAGAATGGATATGAAATATATTCGTTCAGTTGAAGGCAATAGCATACTTTTTCGTTTTGTAATTTGTGCGTAGATAAGCTAATGTGGAAGAAGCCAAGAAAGTATAATTTATTTGATTGTTATACTTACACTTAAGTTCGCACGATATGGAAAACTTTTTTTATTATTATTTTTACAAAAAGAAGGTTATTTTTCATAAAAAGTTATGTATGGTCTGAAACCTAAATATCAACCATCAGATATTAAATTTTTAAAATAGTATACGAGGTATGTCAAATATAATGAATTAAAGAACCTTTATTTTTGACAAACCTCGAATACGACTGATAAAATTTGATTTCTGATGGTTGTATTTTAGGTTTTAGACCATACTAGACTTTTCTTATGAAGAATAATTTTTTTCCTAAAATTAGTAATAAAAAGTTTTCCGTATAGCACCAACTATACGTAAGATGGCGGCATAGGAAAACTTTTTAATAATAAAAGTAAAAGTATTTATTTTTGGAACAAATCTAAAAACAGATTAATTTTGTTTTTAAATGCTGTATTTTTGACATATCTCTTAGATATACAGGGTGATGTGTGTAAATAATGAAAATACACGTTATCATAAGTATTATTTTTCTAAAAAAATCCTCATGTAAGCAACACACAAAGAAATTTGTTTAAGAATGCATATTTAAAATTTGGCAAGACTCAATTCTAAATGAAAGTAGAATATTGTGACGTTTAAAAAAATTGACCTATTTTTGGAATTTTTCCAAAATTCAATACTTTTTATAGCATATATATTGTATAGAAAAAAAAATTAAGTTCAAATTTTCGTTTAACTTAAATAGAAAATAGTAAATAAAAATGTCATTACATAAAAAGTACGAAAATTTTAAGAAATATTTCCATTTAATTCATTTTCTTAGAATTCTACTTTAAAATTAAAAAAATTGTTTATTATATAAAGTGAGCTACAATTTTTTTTTAAATTATCACTTTTAAAACATTTTGAATTTAATCACACATTATATTTAATGGAAAATTAATAAAATGATTCATTCTGTGTTTTAAATTGTCAGTCAACTAATTCTAAAATGAAATAAAAAAAAATTAATTAATTAGTTTACTTCTATATAATAAAAAATATAAGCAATAATTAAAAAAATTCTGAAAATTACAAAAATAATTAGATGTACTCAAAAATATAATAATCTAATTGAATAGAGATTCTAAACAATACAAAAATGTACTTTACATGCAAAATGAATTCCTTAAAAAATCAAAAATCTAAAGTACTTGTTGACTTATTTAAATATCAGAAGCTTACCAATTTAAAACATGAAGAAGTTACATGAATATAATCAAATATCATGCATTAGGGGATGTTTATATTTTGTATGAAAGAGAGGTGTGAACTGTGAAATATCAAATTTTAGAGATTTTTGAAGAAACTTTTTACGAATATAAATTTCATTAGACTATCTAAATTTATCAAATTAAAAACTAATCTATTTGTTTTCCTTAAATATATTAATTAAAACGTAACAAAAATTATTGAAAAGTTGTTTACATCGGAAAAGTTTACTCCCTAGAAATTTTGTTGTAATGGCACCAATTTTCAAAATAATTTCACAAAAATTCCACTAAGTAAATAACTATTAGATTGCACTAACCTTTTTGAGTTAAAACCTTAAACTAACGATTGAATACCGTTCTCATTGTCTTTTATACCTTGTTTATAAAATTTTGGTTAGACAGATTTAAAATTCAAGATGGCAAGGGTCAATGTATATGGAAATCGTATTAAACTTGCGTTAATTATTAAATAATGTTTCTGAAGTGTTGATTTTCTGTTTTTCTAATTTTGAAAGAGGATTTATAGAATAATAATAATAATAATAATAATAATTGCTTATTAACTTTAATTAAGCAATACCAAGGCAATATGGAAATGTGTGAAGAATTATTACAAATACAGGGGACTTCTTACGATCATAAAAGTTATGAATACATAAGAATTTTATATTAGGAGGTTAAAATAATAAAAAAAAATAATAGATTGGAAATTAATGAATGGTAGATAGAGGGAGCTGAAGTTCAAAATATACAGTTTTCAGGATCAATGTTTCAAGAAAGATAAGCATTATTAAGTGAAGAGTAAAATATTAAAGAAAAGGGTTTAAAAGGTTTGGTACTCCATGTAAAAAGTATCTGTCTATAGATTTTTAGCAAATGGTAGATAATAACTTAATAACTAAATCTAAACATTACTATTTAATGTTTTGTTTGCGCTAAAACACACATTTGGAGGAAACTTTTTTGTAATTATACAGGGGCTATACGTTTTGTTCTCCGCATCAACTAAACGTTTGAAGGTCTTAAAAGATGAAATCCCAAGTTGTGAATTAAAATGTATAGAGGAGGTTTTTCAGACATTATGCATACAATCTAGGAAATTAAGCTAAATACTAACTATCGTCAAATTTCAGATATTATTAATATTTACTTGCTCATTTTAATTGATTTGCAATTAATTTTCCATTGTCTTCTTTGAAAATCTTTATTTTTATGAAATATTAATTATACTTATTTGTTACAGGTATGTTGATTGTAATCATTTTACGAAGTTAAATAACTAGGTAAGTCCAAATGGATTTATGGTGTTATTATTTTTATTGAAAAATACTGTCCATGGTCACAATTTAATTTATAGGAAACGATTTTAAATATGCATATTAATATCAAAGTTGTATATCTCATATCTCAAAAACTGATAGTTCATATAACTTTATAAACTATACATATTTTAAAATAATTAAATATTTTTTATTAACACGCGATATAAAATAGATGACTATTATTAAAAACAGCATAGTTCCAAATATGAATATAAATTAATAAATATAATAACATTTTAATTTTAATAATTCAATAAAAATATTAGTTTTGTAAGTTAGATTTAAGATTTTCTTTTAAAACTTTAAGTATAAAAAAGTCTATTTTAGCGCGATATTAATTTAGAGAATGTTCTCATGCTAATGTAAAAATTAATAGGTATTCAATTTTTAATAATGTATGACTTCACCAATAATTTACCACATTATTTTGTACTGCAAAAATCAGTAAAGCATGATTCTCAAAAACTATCTGTAAAAAATTGGTTATTTTCAAATTAACGCCTTGTATATCAAAATTTAGCCCTCGTTTTCATCAGAAAAGCTGTCTAATTAGACGCATGAATCATGAGCCTCACCATAAGGGTTACGTCATTTTTTGCAAGGACCTTTAAAAAATTAAAATTGTTTTTTTTTTTGTCACAGGAAGCCAGAAAGGGATTATTTAAAAGTGAACTTTGCTTGCTCACGTAATATTATAGCTTAAAATTTAAATACAATTCACACAGATGATGACTATAAACTATGCTAATAGTTATATTTATGTCTACGTGAAATTTAATTAACCTTAATATTTTGCGTGATATTAAAATTAAAAACGAATTTTCTTTGGTAATTTACTAATATTGTATAAACAATAACAATACATACATACATACGCCTATTATTAATGAACATAATACAGGGTGTTTGAAATGCATTGTACTTACGTTAACTGTAGGTGTGAGGCACTTTATATTTCATTACCTAGATATAGGATAGAGGGATTTGTTTTTGGTCAAAACTCAACAACCACTCGGTATAACAAATTAAAATTTGGCAGGTAGACTCATCTCAGTACAACAAAAATAGTATCATAAAAATAATGATTAGAATCCAGGTCCAGCGTAACAAAATTAGACCATTTCTTTCCACTTCAAAAACCAAAATTAGAGCAGAGCCAAAAAGAAATTAAAGTAGGTGTCTTTTAAAATTTTTTCATGTCGTTTTAGAGGCACTAATTTTTTGATAAAAAGTATATTTTTAAAAATTAGTTACCTTCATAATTTAAAAATGATTTCTTGATGATAAAACTTGTAAAATATTGTTTTTTAAGGCAGTACTTTTCAAATATCTAATTTTACACTATTTTAGTCTTGGATGATGAACTTTTGGAAAGATTACAAAAAGGAATTTTATAAAGCGATTAAAAAAATTCATTCAAATTTATTGGTCTCCAAAAAAAAGCATTTTTATCGAGATTGTATTATCAACGTTGTATCGGAAATGACGAATAGGCAAAGGTCAGTTATTAATGTTATTATTAAAAAATATTGTAAACTGGTAGAGAACCCATATGAGATAGTGACAGACTAATAGTTTTTTTATTAACGCTCCATTAAAATTAGTTGACCAAATAGATACATCAAGTTTGGAAAATATTTTAATAAAAAATCAATGTTTTCAATAACCTGCAGAAATTGAATTATTTAATTTATTACATAAAAAAATAAAAAATAATCAGATGCAGACGAGGTGCTCAGGTTTATTACAAAAAAATCACTTGAGGATATTCTATATAGAGGTGTATTGAAAATATGCATTGGCGTATCACTATCAAAGAAAATATTTAAAATTAATTAATTTTATCAGTAAATATTAATGATCGATGTTTTATTCTTATTATTTAAGCAGATATTCATTGTTTTTTAAAATTACCAGTTGAACAAATAAGAAAGGACATCGTTACTTGTAAAATAGGACCAGTATCGCAAAAAATATGCGCCGTAGATTGCGACATGCGTATGACCAATGATAAACGAGTGGATAGTAAAAATCTTTTTTTTAAACGGTTTTTTTATGATTTATAGTAAATAATGAGAGTTACACCCTCTAACTGTGAAGGTAGGAACTTGAAAAATGTTTCCTACGAACTCAAGATATATATGAAATTAATACCTATTTATTAAAAAACTGCGCCCAAAATATTGTTGTTCCTATTACTGAATTGATAAATTGTTTAGTTGAAGGTACCTTTTCAGATATTCTTAAAATGTCAAAAGTTCTACCATGCCACAAAAAAGGAGATGACTCAGTGCCTGAAAATTTTCGCCAAATACATAGTTTACCATACAACAACCTGTTTTCTGCGGAACAATATGGTTTTAGACATGGGAGAACAACTACAGATGCCATGCTGGCTTTAATGAATAACATTTAGGAGTCTTTAGAAAACAAATCACAATGCGTAGCTGTATTCACTGATCTGTCTAAAGCATTTGACTGTGTAAGTCACACATTGTTAATCAAAAAACTAGATATAAATATGGCATTAGAGGCATTGCAAATAAGATGATTGCTTCTTATTTGCAGAACAGACAACAAAGTGTATATTACAGAAATAAACTTAGTAAACCTTCATTAATGAAAAGAGCTGTTCCACAAAGATCCGTACTAGGCCCTCTATTATTTTTAATGTATACCAATGATCTTCCATAATATATGAATTCAAATAATGCCGAATTACTAACTACCATGTATGCAGATGATACAAATTTCTCATATCACTGCAATAACGCACATCTGACATAGTTATCAAAAACTCTAAGATTATGACTGTAGCTAAACAATGGTTTGATAGCAACGAATTATTTTTAAATCACAATAAAACTGGAACATGCGTCTTCAGGTTGAACCAAACTACTAGTGAAACAATGAATCCTAAATTTCTCGGTATATATTATGACACACAACTTACTTGGAACTATCAAATAAATAACTTATGCAACAAGTTGGCAAAATTCACGTTTGCTTTACGTAGTATATCAAATATAATTATATCGAAGCAGCAATAACTACTTATTATGGCTTATTCCATTCCAATTTACCATATGGGATTCTAACTTGGGGAAATGCTAGCTTCACTTCACTACAAAGCCTTTTTATCTTGGAAAAATCAGCAGTTCGCTCTATTCTGCGAATAAATTATTATGAACCATGCCGACCACTATTTAAGTAACTTAGCATAATGAGCCTGTGTATTGACGACTGTGTAAACATGTTTATATATCTATACCATAGAGGTAAAAAATCGTATCGCCAGTTTTGCATTAAATGGAGTGCATTCGCTAAAATACCTAAGGCTTTCATTTTGTAGTGATAGAAAATCGTATCTCTATAAGTAGGTACTAGTATTTATTATAGTACGTTAAAAATATAATATTTTCACTTTTTAAAGAGGTAAGAAGTCGTACTTCCAACTTTGGGCCTGATTTTGTCCAAATCTATAAGGTTGGAGATACGAATATTTACCTTTAAGGTACAGATATGTATTGCTATTTTACCTACATGTGATATTATATCTGAAATCTTCACAGACCCAGGCATCTCCACCAACTTTAATCAACAGTCACCCAAAACAATTTTATGGACTTTCAGAAGCATATATGTTCCCCCATAGCCGATTTTGACATACCTGGTGTACTTTGCATTCTTAGTGCTTCTGTATCCACGTTTAAAATTTGCAATCCATATTATTGAGCGTTAAAAAAATGATAGAATAGACTTAAAATCCAGCTCAAATTCAATTTCCGTGGAACTTAAATCTTCAATGTGAAAATATTTTATAACAGCTCATTCTCCATTACTTAAAAACCTTAGAATTTCATTAGTATAGCGGGGTTGTTAAATACTTCGCACAAACTTACAATATTTCACAGATAAAACTAACAAACATTGAAACTGTGACAAGTTGTTAGCTCCTTAACGAAAATGATGGCAAAGTAACTTGTAACGGACGGCAAAATCTCTACGGCCTTTTTGAAATTTGTAATTAATTGCCATTTAACTTTAATTTATCGATGGGCCGATTAAGCTTTTTAAATTGTTTTTACATGCAACTGTAAAAGCGTTATGGCCCGTTTGAAATTTGAAATTAATTACTTTTTAACCTTAATTATTTGATGGTATTTTCAGTGTTTCCCATATGCAACTCTAAAATCGTTATAGCCCGTTTAAAATTTTTAATTAACTGCCTATTTACTTACTATTTGACGGGCCATTGATGGCTTTTAAACTGTTTCCCATATGCAAGTGTAAAATCGATATGAACCTTTTATTTAATTAAAATTTTAATATGTATGTCGCCATATATTTTTAATAGAAAAAGTAGATACAAAACTTTTTTAGGGCAAATGGGTATTGTTGCATACGTATTGTAATTCTAAATAATTCTTTTTTATAAATATTTTAGATATTGTCAAAAATAAATTCAGAGTGTGTCTACTTATTAAGTCAGCACCATATAGAAAACTTTTTTATTATTAGTTTCATGCAAAAAAGTTATCATAACAAGTTCAGCATGACCTGAAACTAAAAATACGGTCATTATAAATCAAATCTTTTTACGCATGTAGGAGGTTTGTCTAAAAATATGAATTTTATGCAAGAGTGAAGTACTTATTGAAAATTATTCTCAAGAAAAATTGATCAGAATTGAAAAATAAGGTCAGATATTTAATATTATCCCATCTACCATGAAAAATCATTATGACATTTTTAAAACTTTAATTATTGGATGAACCGTTGATAGTTTTCAACTGTTTCCCACAGGCAATGGTAAAATTGTTACGACCCTTTTGAAATATTTAAGTAGATGGTTTTTAACTTTCCACAAATAAAAATAGGAAGAGCAGAGTAACATAACCTATTGTATTTTGTTTAGACTGAAGATAGATCATACATATTTTTGTTTGTTAGATAAGATAAGGAATATATCCTGTGTGACTCACCATTGAGAAGATAATTTTTTTGAGAATACAGCAAAATGTAGGGTTGAGGATCGGGAGTTGGAAAAATATCAATCGTTTATCGATTCAAAAATTTATTAATGTATAAACACAATTATTAATATTCAGATTTGTTTCTATCACTAGTAATTACTTGATATGCTTATATAAAATCTATAAGTAGTACTTATAACCTCTTAAATAACTAAAAACAGTCTTACATAAAGTTGGCGGATTTTAAAACGAAAACAAAACACCGAGAAAAAAGTATTAAAAATATATTTGTTACTGTTGATGTTGATGGCTTTGCCGTTGTTGTTCTTCTGCTTTCCTGCGGACTTCTTGACATTCTTCGCATTCCACTACTTGTCCTGCAAAAACAAGAGATCTTAGAGTTCATTATGTATTTAATTATCAGACCTATTACAGAAAATAAAAAAATCTACGTTGCTTATAAAGATTTTTCCACGATCACTTTAGAATTTAAGAAATATTCCAAATTTAAATTTGCTAATTTGTTGTTAATATTCCAATACTTAGTGCATGACAGTGAAATTGGATTTGAAATAGTTTTGTAATTTTTTTGTTTTGTTAAGGTTTGTTCCATTTCTAATTTTAAATATAATTCAGGTTTAAATTAAGATGAAGTTCGATTATAAAACACCACTAAAAATTGCACAGGGTACAAAAAATTATATCAAAAATACTATAGACAATAGAAATAAATTTTTGGCGGTTAAAAAGAAGGATGATTTGTGGGTAAGAAGGATCAATACAGAATTAAAAAAGATATAAAATTTTTTAAAGCAATAAATAACCCATAATAACGGTAATTTACAGATTATGGATATTAACCAGAGTAGAAAAACATTTTTGGCTGTAGAAAAAGAAGATGAGATTAAACAAAGTTATCGAATATATAAATATAATACAAGTAGGTAATAAAGAATTTATGATTCTCTTAAAGCAAATCGTGAGCTTACTGCCAAAAATGACCAAATCAAATTTTATGTGATTTGAGTAATTATGACCGAGTCACTTATTAAAGACATATCTACAAAAAAAAAGTAATTCAAGTCATATTACATTGCCTGAAAGTACTAAATAAACTCAATCAATATGACTTGGCCATTTTCTATTTGGTAGATCTGACTTTACCAAGAGATTTGGTCATATTAACTCAAATCATATAAAATTTGGCAGTAAGCCCACGAAATTACAAATAAAAAATCTTACCATCATGATTATGTCCATGGTGCAATAATTCATCCACTTTGTTCATCACGTTTTCCTTGATAGCATTGGCTTTATCTAAAGCTGGTTGTACTAAGGGTTCCACAATACCCCTAGCCCTTTCCACAGCTGGTTCCACTGCAGACTTTGCTCTCTCATAAGAAGGCTCTAGGATATCTTTGGCCGTTTTCATAGCAGGCTCTGTGTACGCCTTAGCTGATTCCGAGTAAGCTTTAGCCGTTTGCACAGCAGGACTGACTGTGCTTGATACATAGCCGTAGGTAGAGTTGTAGATCTGTGAAAAAATCTAAATAAGGATATGTGTTAGATGATGGATGATTAATGGTAAGAACGTTGAGATGATAAGTCTGTTTTATTTTTTTGATAATACATGGATGTAGTTTTTTAATAAGAGTCTAACATTTATGGTTGTTCAGGTGATCTGAACGGTTTCCGGACGAAGAAAATCTAATTTTAAAAAATGAAACGATTTTCGTTTAGAAGTTAGACTTTTAATTTTTCGAGGCGAGATCTTCTTTCCGAAAAATAAAATATTTTCCAAACGGTCGACTAATTATGACATTTCAGGTCGTAGAATACCTTAAAATGTCATGAAAAGAAAGAAAATGAACTCTAAAAGTTTGTGCGATTTTTCCTTTAGAAGTTAAACTTTCAATTTTTCGAGGAAAGATCTTCTTTCCGAAAAAAAAATATTTTCCAAACGGTCGACTAATTATGACATTACAGGTCGTAGAATACCTTAAAATGTCATGAAAACAAAGAAAATGGCCTCTAAAAGTTTGTGCGCTTTTTCCTTTAGAAGTTAGACTTTCAATTTTTCGAGGCGAGATTTTCTTTCCGAAAAAAAAGAAACATTATTTTCCAAACGGTCGACTAATTATGACATTTCAGGTCGTAAAATACTTTAAAATGTCATAAAAAGAAAGAAAATGGCCTCTAAAAGTTTGTGCGATTTTTCCTTTAAAAGTTAGACTTTCAATTTTTCAAGGCGAGATCTTCTTTCCGAAAAAAAAATTATTTTCCAAACGGTTGACTAATTATGACATTTCAGGTCGTAAAATACCTTAAAATGTCATAAAAAGAAAGAAAATGGCCTCTAAAAGTTTGTGCGATTTTTCCTTTAAAAGTTAGACTTTCAATTTTTCAAGGCGAGATCTTCTTTCCGAAAAAAAAATTATTTTCCAAACGGTTGACTAATTATGACATTTCAGTCGTAGAATACTTTAGAATGTCATGAAAAGAAAGAAAATGTCCTCTAAAAGTTTGTAAGATTTTTCCTTTAGAAGTTAGACTTTCAATTTTTCGAGGTGAGATCTTCTTTGGTTATTTGAAGGTTAAATTAAGTTGATTTCTGAGTTTTACAAGGATTCGGAAATCTTCACTAAGATTGTATTCGCTAATCAGGTGAAAAATAGCTTTAATAGAAAGTGCATTAGTTTTTATTTGGACATTATAAAGCACCAGAAGTTAGATAGGAAAATAATAATCTAATTGATTAAATGATTATAGATAATCATTGAGGAGCTGATACAAATCAACCCATAAATATGAAATCATTTTCAAATTAGCGATAATTTAAAAAAACAAAATGATTATTGAGTGAAATTACTGCAGTTTACTATATTAACCTCCCCACACCGACTCATAAAAATGTGGAGGTTATTGTATTCACTTCAAAATTCAAATTTGAGATTTGGGGTCCCAGATAGTAAAGAACGTATTTTTTAAAAATATCCGGATGTACGTATGTGTGTGTGACGATATAGTTCAAATTATTTGGCGATTTTTATGGGATTTAGGACATAGGGTTTGCAGAGACCTAGGAAGAGCTGATTAGGTTTTAGGCGTAGTTGGGCAACTGAAGGGGTAGGTACTTTATAGAGGGTTGTTTTTCTACTTTTTGGTATATTTATGTTATTTATGAGTGGGGAAGAATATTTTTCGGAAAAAACTTCTTCGCGATATCATTATCTGTAAATTTTTATTATATACATTATGATTTTTAAAACAAACCGTGTTGGAGATATTTGAAGAAATATTTACCTAATTCATTTTTTTGTTTTGGCAGGGATCTAACTTTAGAGAAAAATCATGTCTTCGGACACTTAAAATAATAATGCAAACAACATTTTCAAATTTTAACAGATGTTGAAGTTAGAAAGTATCAAAGTTGAATTCTTACTTATTATAAATTTGAGATTGGAGTCTTTATTTCGTCACTTTTTCCAAACCAATAGATTTATGGACTTCAAAATTTCAGAAAATATTTATAAGTAGTCTAGAAACATAATGTTCTAAACAACATTTTCAAATTTTAATAGATGTTGAAGTTAGAGAGTAACAAAGTTGAATTCTTACAAGTTATAAATTTGACATTCACGATGCTGCGTTTTATTTTTAATTTTTCTTTGCTATTCTTCTTAACAATCCCGTTATACTCAAAATAAAGTTATTTTTAAAGAAATGAACGCATGATAAAATGCAACGTGAGATGATAAAACTGTATACATACCTCTCCAGCTGGCAGCTTAACAGCAGGAACTTTATTCTCGACGTAATCTAATCCTGAACACAAAACACTGTCTACTTTTTTAATAGGACCTTCAAGATTTCTAATTACTGGTGTGGCAATAGGTCTGCCTACTTCTACGGCCATGTTCATGGTATTTTCGGCTGTTGATAGGGTCCATTGCGTAATGCTATTGTAATCCTGAAAGAAATTGTACATTTTTTATTATAATGGGTGTTTCAAAATTGAATTTCACAAAATATTCTTCTAATAAAGAGCGTTGGACTACAAATTTGACAACTGTCAAGTAAAACGTGATACTATAAACAGAAGGAATGATATTGCCTAACCTAAACTTGAAAGTCATTAAGCGATCCAAATAAAATTGAAGCCATAAAACGTTTTATATTGAAACAATAAGTACTAAGCTAGTAAAAATTGCTGATAATTCATGCTCATCTTTGTTTGGTACGTTGTTTTGTCTAAAGATTATTTGGGCAAACTAATAAATAATTATTTTCAAAATTATCACAGCGATGACAACTTTAACCAAGTGCAAAATAAAGCTACAGATGTAGCACCAAATTTAGAATTGGATTGTACTTTTCCACCGATTCAAAATAATTTACCAAACGTTTATTTTCTTGCAAGTGAGATTTCAATTAATATCAAATTTTAATAATGTTTTTGGTTTTTTTAGCAACATTCTCAATTTGTCTGAAGATAATCTTTTGGCTCACTATGAAACACTAGAAATAAAATTTACTGACGAAGCCAAAAAAGAATTTGATATTGAAGTAAAAGCTCTTAAAGTTTTTTCTTTGTTAGTTGAGTATAGAAATCCCTCAGATCTCTTACAATAAATATTTATTACCAACGTTTTCTAATCTGATAATTTCTTTAAGAATTCTTCTTACACTTCCTGTATTAGTGGCTTCAGATCAAAGTTCGTTTTCCAAATTGAAGATAATAAAAAATACTTACTTTTACTTTTTCGTAAATACTTGTAGCTGTTTTGATTGTAGAATCAACAACTGGCAATTTGGAGAATCTGTTGACGGATTCCATACAGGTGGGACTGAGGTCAGTAATGGATGGAACGTTTTGATTGATTTGATCGGCAGACATTTTGACTTAGATTCTGTAAACATAAAAAAAATATGTTAGTAATTATTTTGCTATTAGTCAGTCTTTAATTAAATGGGTTATGATCCATAGAAACTGAATGAAAATGAGTTAATTATTTGACCATAGTGAGAAAAATAAAATGCTATTATTTTAATGTATTATGGCGACATTATAGCCAATATTTAATTTTTTATACCTTAAAATCTAGTGTAAATAAGAAATTATCAAAACAAAGTAATAATATCAAATTTACCAATCACAATTCATATCTTTTAGTACCATAAGACTATTATTTTTTAAAATTCTGTTTGTCAGTACATTTTTTTTAATTATTGTGATAAAATTTAATCAAATTATGATTGATTCTTGTAAAAAATCGAAAAATTATGACAATCTACTAGATATTCGTCTATATTTACAAAAAAAAATCCAAAATTTAAAAGACTATCTAAAACCAATTTAATTATAAATGATAAGTCATTAAACATCTCCAAATTTCGAAGATTATTTTAGAAATTAGTAAAATTCCAAAAATCAAGCATTCTTTGTATTCATTATTTTTTTAATTTATTATTATGAAATGTTTTTTAAAAGATATTTATCACAATATCTTTTATAGTCTAAAGGCCAGTCTATAAAATATATTTGAAATTGATTTTCTATAAAAGGTGTTTGATATAACATGATCTTTAATAAAATACTTTGGTTATAAAATAGTAATAATTAACTTAGGTCCATTGGCTAATAGATTTTTTTTGTTTATCGAAAGGAATAACGTTCGATATCCAAATTTTTGATAATGAGTAAATTATTAATATAATCTTTGAATCTGTCTGTCTTATTTTAATATAATTCTATAATTAACACTATATATCTACTAAAAACTACCAGGTCTACGATCATACATGCTTTAGAAGAGTTTAGTAAATATAAATAAAATAATAGATCATATATATTTTTAATGTTATTGACATAACCGATTCTAGAATACTTAATGTCTAATATATAATAACTAAAAAATACAACCATCTATTGTTGTAAATTATTATTACTTACTATCGCTATTAAAAAGTAGGAATTGTTTCCAACTTTATTGCCCTATACTGATAATGGTAACATTATGAGGTAGTAAAAATGTTTTGAAGTTTTTTCTGTAAATATCTTGAAATCCTTACCTAATTTTGGTAAAGATACACTGAGGTGTCTATCTTTACCAAAAATTAGGTGTGGATTTTTTACAAAATAAGTAATTTTGATTAAAAAAATTAAAATAGACTGAGTTGTTTTTACTTCCCCCTATTTCCCCTAAAATGTCCCGTCTGTCCGTCATCTCTTTTAAAAACCTGGTAACCCTGACTATAGCCCCCATAGCCCCCCTTGGAACCGCCATTGCTTGAAGGGGAAAATACGTCAACTTAAATATGTTTCATACTTCGTAAGCACGCGTATTTCTAAGCAAGATTTTTTAACGCATCCTCGTCCTATTATTAAAAAAAAAAAAACCAAATTCAATTAACTTATAAATCACTATTTGTGACATTGCGGTTTCTTAACAAACTCCCCCTTTATCTACATATAAAAATCACTATAAATTATAACTATTTTTCTATGAAAACTTCTTGGACCATCTAATAACAAGGCGAAAATGTCGAAAAGGGAAAAAATAAATATATCTGCTCTTTATATGGAAAACAAACATTTGTGGGGGATTCTGTTTCATCTTATCTGTCTAAAATGGTTTCATTGTGTCTCATATTGCAATGTGATGTATGTGATTTTTAATCTAGTTATTCAAATTTTGTGATAAAATGAAAAAGGCGTAAAAGGATGTTTTCCTTTTTAGAAACGGTTATGTATTTTTATATTCTTACTTTTTAAATAGTCAACGAACTAAATTTAGTTTTACTTTTGTTCACTTATTGAGTTAAAAAAAAAAATAGGTTTTTATTTTTTTAAGGAATTTATATCCCAAAGTTTGAAAAATTGCAAGAAAATTTAAAATAACTTATTTAATATCTGTTCAAAATCGAACTCACCTTGGAAACGAACAATTAAAAAACGAATTAAAAAAACAAACACCGCTTTTCGACACAAATTTAAAACGACTAATGAAATGAGAAATGACTATCGAACCGGACCAACTTCGTATCAGAAACAGAATTACTATATATAAAAAAAAATATGACCGATAAGATTAGTTCAAAGAATGTCTTTTTATCACCCATGCATTGGGTGGGCAAACTGAGTCTCAAGTTCAAGTAGAGGTAGCAAAACAAGTGTAATAACCACGAGGCGAGATATTCATTCATTATAATATACAGTGTGGATGTACTTATATTACTTTGACATCAAAAATAAAGATGTGTCGAAAAATTTAATCCTTTATAATATGAGACTATTCTAATTATAAGCAACAAAAAATTGTCTTTGAAATAAAACTTACATTGTGATAGTGACAGGCATTTTAAAGTTAATTTATTGTTTTAATAAAAAATGTATAGAAACGGTTAATTTACTAATTATTGGAGTCTTTGTTTGGTTAATTTATTTCGATTGTTTTTACTTTGTCCTAAAATGTTGACTTTACAGTACTTGGTTTGCGACTTACCAAGTGTTCCGCCATCTTTCGGCGAAATTATGCAACTAGGGAGTTAAATCTGTTAGGTTAGTGTGGTAAATCCAGAAGTGGAGAAAACTTTTTTCTCTGAAAAATGTGACTTAGGGGCCTATTCAGTAACTCTGAACGACGTCGTTAATAGACGATAATCGTTCACAGACGACTTTTCTTATTCAGTAGACAACGATTGTCGTTGAAAATAGACAAATATGGTTGTAAAATTGTCGTTCATCAACTGCTGCGTTTGAGAATCCACATCGGATGCATTTTTTACATCTCGAGCGTTTTTTTATCCACATCGGACACATCTGTCCCATTACATTTACGTATACTGAACCACGTGATCAAAGATTTTTTACATCTCAGATGCATCCGATGTGGATTCTCAAACGCAGCAAGAGATAGCCAAAGAGCTGTCGTTAATAATATGAAGTGTCGTTATAGTGATTTTTGCATTCCCTCTCATTTTTCATTGTTTTAAATAATAAAAGCACTTTTTTACAAATTTTACAACTAAATTGCCATCTACCTAATACAGCAAGTACAATTTGTAAGGAATTTTTTTCTAATTTATTTAATTACATATTTTAAAAATAAATCTGATTCAAAGTTAGGATTGCCCATTCAACCATTTACTATTCGATTCTTATTAACAGTGCTGTTCTTTGCGAAACAGTAACAGAACCTATATTATGGAAGTACCTATAATACTTCTCCGTAACCTACACAAATTTGGTTTGTCTTTCAAATCCAATAAATACAACTTGTACTGTTCTCGAGTTGTTTTTTGTATTCTTATGGAATAGTTCTCAGTTTTTTTTAATATATCCATACTCATTTAAATAAACCCTACATACAATACGACCAGCAAAAATGGCCCGCGAGAAACAGAATTACTACGAATCGAGAATCGACCCCCTGATGATCGTGTTGTAGGTTTAAAGAACAATAATTAATATATTCTGAAAAACAAATGAATATATCTACTAGTTCCAAAAAAATGTCAAATATACCGGGTGTTCAAAGAACAATAATTAATATATTCTGAAAAACAAATGAATATATCTACTAGTTCCAAAAAAATGTCAAATATACCGGGTGTTCAAATTAAAGGGTTACAGTTAAATACCGCCTTTTATAAAAAAAAAAACAAAGTTTTATAGTTTTTTGGGGAAAACATTTTGGCTAAAAATGTTTTTTTATAGCAAACCATAATATGGCCAACTTTTTTTCGCGCAGCAAAATTTTCAAGTAGGTGTTACTCAATAAAGTAGAAATCCAATAAAAAAAATGTCTTTAGGACCGATTTTAACACAACGGTGGAATCGGTCCTTAGAAGTTTCTTATTTTTTTATGAACTCTAAAAATACCTATATAAAAAAATAGGGTTCCAATTTGAAAAAAAATCCACCTCGATATGGCCATATTATGGTCAGCTATAAAAAAAATAATTTGGCCAAAATGTTTCCCCTAAAAAACTATAAAACTTCTGTCTGATACTTTTTTTTATAAAATTCATATTTTTGGCGATATTTAACTGTAAAACTTTAATTTAAACACCCGGTATAATCATCAACATACGTTCTTTTATCACAAAACACTAAATTATAATACCAACTTACTAGAAATCATCGTTCAGATTTGGTAACTAGAAACAACGTAACGACTTTGTTATTGAATAGAGTTTCAAAAATTATCGTTATAAAAGTCGTTGGTTGAACTGTCGTTAGCTTAACGATGTCGTTCATAAACGATAAATTACTGAATAGGGCCCTTAGAGGTGCTGATATTGTTTAAAAATAAAAGTGCTATTTGTAGAGGAATTAATTGCAGACCTAAATAATAATTTGCTATCTTGTTTCTACTCAAGAAATGTCAAATAAAGAGAGATGGCATCGTATACTGGGGCATGTCAACTTTTATGATTTGAAAAGTTTATATAATTTAAATTTATTTGAAGGACTACCAAAATTAACCGAATGTGAACCTTTAAAATATGAAGTATGTGTATTCAAAATGAAATGTCAAATCTAAAATTTCAAAATAATAGGTACAGGACAAATGATGTATTAGAGATAGTCCACATAGATGTTCATGTATCAAATAGTCAATTAGGATATACAGGTGAAAAATCCTATTTTTCAAACAATTTACTGTGTTATACTACACAATTTAAATTGGACAAGAAATTGTGTAGTCTATAGCAATGGAAAATTCTTGGTTTTCAAACAAACTAGAGAACTAAATCAGGATAATGTTTTGGTTTATGGTGATAATAGTCAAATAGTCATTAGTAACAACAAACTCATTTAGAAAGAAAGTTGGATTAAATTGTTTTATTATTGCCGAAGGGGGTAATTACCTGCCAAGAATTTTTAAATACTAACTTTTCATAG